ACGCGTTTAGAGTGATTTGGCTTGTGCTATGAATGTCCACGTAATGTTGATAAGCCGCCACTTTGTTGAGCTGTCATTTGTGGTCAGGTCGCTTCTGAAAAAAAAGCTACGTATTCTTGGTTCTTTCGGTAAAGTCACGTTGAAGGGAGACAATAAAATAATAAAATATATATAAAACAATACAATTCTCACGACGTTTCGACTGTAACACAAAGTCATCATCAGGTGTGAAAAAAACCTGATGATGACTATTTGTGTTAGAGTCGAAACGTCGTGATAATTTTATTGTTTTATATATATTTTATTGCTTTATTGTCTCCCTTCAACGTGATTTTACCGAAAGAACCAAGAATATGAATCACTGCAGCCACGAAAGCTTTAAATCAAAATGTAAGAGCTACTTAGCTCAGTATGGAGCCTTACCTGGTATAATAAAATAAAGTTTAGTTTTGAGTTTGGTTATCACTCTACCAGTCAAACTTTTACAAGGTCCAGAAGTCAAGCGGGTGTCTCAGTCAGCGCAAAGCTAAGAATGAACATTTAATTCGCAATTAAGTTCTGTTTGGGTGAGATCGTACGCACGGTGCGAAAGAAGTTAAACATACACGCGCCGTGTAGTGTATAGGGTAATTTAATTGACTCTTCAACTCCACCACCCAGCGACCGAGCCAGACAAATCAGGCTGTGGCCTCGTGGGCAAATGTTCCGATGGCATTTGTTCATCAGCACAACGGCATCAAGGGTATTGCAAAGTCAACGAAAGTTGGACCCGCTTGTACTGTATGACGCTTCGCAGGAGATTACAGAGCGCCGCTTTTGTTTAACAGCTGACGATGCCCATTGTAATCGCCAGCGAAACGTCGGACAAGATCGTTTGACGGCAGAACGGCGTCACAAATGCCCCGTTGGCCGCGGGCGTTGAAGGACCATCTCTTTTTTTTCCCAGCATGCACCCCGGAGACAGCAAGTCACGGTTCAAAATGAGCCGGGACAATTTATTTTGTTCGGACGATTGAAGTTGAGCGGCTAATGCATCGTCTTATTATCCACGATCATCCACAAAGATTCCCCTTCCACCCCCGCCTACCCCTCAGCGATTGAGTGAAGTACAGGGTGTTTAATAAGAATGGACCCAATCTGAAATCGCTAGATCTCTGCAACCACGAACCGCCCATGAATGAAACTCTTACCACTTGAAAGGGCGGGGCATAGAGAGGGCGGGGCATAGAGAGGGCGGGGCACAGAGTTTCAAATGACTACCGCTAGATGCCTCTCCCAGCGCACAAACAGCCCCTAGCCTCAGTCATTCGCAAGACAACACTGCCTCAACGTTGGATAGGTCGCACGGGACCCCAAGACTTGGTGCTACACTCTTGCCCCCCAAGATCTCCAGACATCACACCCTGCGACTTTTTTTTATTGTGGGGACACGTCAAAGACCCGTGGTGTTTTTGTGCCACCATTAGCGACTCATCTGGATGACCTCAAAAACAGACTCACGGCAGCGGTGACTTCAGTGGAAGAAGACACTTTGAGAGGCGTTTGGGACGAATTCAACTATCGTCTCGATGTTATCCGTACAGAGGGTGACGGGCACATAGAGCATTTATAAAATGGTTAGTAAAACTTGATAACTCATTAAACTGTTTGTAATTTTTTTGTAAAATTGCAACATGTTGCCATAGTGAAATATACTTCTTTGAAATTGTGGCCATCTTTTTCAAACACCCTGTAATTTCGCGGATAACCCCTTGGAGGAATTGGTCCAAATTGGCATTTCCCCTACCCCCGCCGTTCCCACATCCCCACGTTCCCACATCCCCACATATCACGGACGGATAAGAGGAGTTCTGTGGTGAGAAACGTACGGGTCCCGGATTAAGCGCGCCGCGCGTGTAACCCTGAGGATTTTTAATAACTTCGGCACGACCGCATTTTTGACTCCTGGCTCAACACAGTCTTAAGTCCTCTTGATATTAACAACACCACAGGGGGGGGGGGCTGTGGGACCCCCTCTAGGGAACCCCTCCCCCCCCCCGCCCTCCCCCCGACAAATTCCGCCAGAGAATTTGTGTTCGAAAGCGACAAGCCCGAACTGTGCCGGTGTTGTTGTGCAGAATTAGCGGAATTACGATCTCATTACGTTGAGGTTTTGGCGGCCGCGTTGCTGCTGCTGCTGCTGCTGATGCTTCTGTCCAGCACGATGTCCGACGTTTCACTCCCACGTTCTGGGGGGGGGCGGGGGGTAACTTCTTGTTTGAGCGACTGAATTCCTTCAGAAGCTCCCCGGCAGGTGGGAGCGACAAACGTCGGGCAAAAGGGACACGACAAGAGGAGAACCTCGGATATCAATTAGCAAAATCACCTCTGTAATTTGGATGGGAGTGGCGTGGCGCTGTGATTTAAGCGGAGTTTTGCCGTGAACCCGGCGACCTGAGTTTCATTCCTAGCCGTTCGCTCGCAATCATTGTTGGCGAGCGACAGCCGAAATTCTATTTTGCGCGCGTCTCTTATTTTAATTTTTACCAGGTAAGGCCCAATGTAGCTCTTTCTCAGACGCGACCTGGCTATCACAAATGACAGCTCAACGAAGTGGCTCATCGCGTGAACATTTCTTCGCAGCCGAATACTCCAAACGCACGTCGATTTGTCAACCTGTGGAGGGAGAGAAAACCCCACGCGACCACGGGGGAAACTCAAAATATACAGCAGCAGCAGGCATCCGGGTCGGGATCGAACCCACGTCCTCCTGTGTACCAGGCGAGGGAGTTAACATCTCCTAGCCACCGTGATAATGATGAGAGAGAGACGCGCAAACTCCAAATATACAGCAGGCGACAGGGTTGGGATTAAACCCACGACCTCCTGTATACCAGGCGAGGGAGTTAACATCTCATAGCCACCGTGATAATGATGAGAGAGAGACACGCAAACTCCAAATATACAGCAGGCGACAGGGTTGGGATTGAACCCACGACCTCCTGTATACCAGGCGAGGTAGTTAACATCTCCTAGCCACCGTGATGACGAGAGAAAGAGAGAGAGAGACACGCAAACTCCAAATTTTCAGCAGCAGACGTCAGTGTCGAGATCGAACCGACTACCTCCTGTAGACCAGGCGAGGTGGTTATAGCCTCAGTGACGCACAGACGCGTCGCGAGGCACCCACAACACCCCACCGTGGCTGAGCCCATCGGTTGCTGTGACCCGGCGAGAGCCCTCTGGCCACCTCACCGCGTCCGGATCGATGATCGAGTCCCGAATGCGAGCTGCTGTTTGCCGAAGGGTCAATTGCACACCGTCAAACAATGAGGGTAACACAATGCCGTGCTGTAAACAAAGTCAACAACTGCAACAGAGCGCGTGCACGGTTCATTGTCGGTGCTCGTTGCTGATGACAACACGTTTGGCGCAGCGCGATTGTGCTGTACGTGTGTATGTTGAACTTCTTTCGCACCGTACGTAGACAACCGTGATGATCGGAGATTCAGCGTTGAGTCTATGGGCAGTGTTGAGTCTATGGGCAGTGTTGAGTCTATGGGCAGTGTTGAGTAGTGTCAGTCTATAGGTAGTGTTAGTCTATAAGTCGTGTTAGTCTATGGGCAGTGTTGAGTCTATTGGTAGTGTTGAGTCTATGGGTAGTGTTGAGCCTATGGGTAGTGTTGAGTCTATGGGGAGTATTGAGTCTGTGGGCAGTGTTGCGTCTATTGGTAGTGTTAGTCTATGGGTAGTGTTGAGTCTATGGGTAGTGTTAGTCTATGGGCAGTGTTGAGTCTATGGGCAGTGTTGAGTCTATGGGCAGTGTTCAGTCTATAGGCAGTGTTGAGTCTATGGGCAGTGTTGAGTCTATGGGCAGTGTTGAGTCTATGGGCAGTGTTGAGTCTATGGGCAGTTTTGAGTCTATGGGCAGTTTTGAGTCTATGGGCAGTGTTGAGTCTATGGGCAGTGTTGAGTCTATGGGCAGTGTTGAGTCTATGGGCAGTGTTGAGTCTATGGGCAGTTTTGCGTCTATGGGCAGTATGTGTGCATGTTGATGGAAGGACAACAAACTCAACACAATGTATGCAAAGTATTATTATTAGCACAATATTGATGGACATTCTAATAAATACCCACTTAAATGATCACTACGCAGAGAGGGAACAACAGCCGGTGGGCCATGAACTGTTTAACGTGTAAACATTACATTCATGTTGTCGCCTATTCGTATGTTTGACAAGGAAATGTGATCTCCCTCGCCCGGCACGCGTGAGGTTGTGGGTTCGATCCCAGACCCTGGCGATGCCTGTTGTATATTTGGAGTCCGCGTGGACTCTCTTGATCTCTCTCCCCCTGTGGTCATGGCAGCGTGGATCGCTCTCTGGTTTTTTTGCCACATTTCGGATGAACGCGCGTTCACATTATTTGTCTGCTGCTATAAATTCCCACGTGATATGACGACGATGATGATATCAGCCACTGCGATGACGAAGCCGCTGTCGTCACGCGTGCGGCTAGGTCGGATGACCTCTGAAAGTAAAAGATTGAAAGGTGCCATTAGCTCAGTGGGACTTTGTCCTGGTCAAAATAACATTTAACAATGAAAACAAAAACAATCTCGCGCTTGGGAGATGCGAGCGCGAGACACTCGATCGAGGCGGTGGGCCAGGTGACCTGATATAGCGGCTCAGCGTCTGAGCCGCTCCCGGCCGACATTCTGGCATTCAAGTCGCCCGCGATTCGACCGCTCAAACGCAGAGGGTCAACACGGCGATTGCAGGGCCGGCGACCGTCAGCTGCGTGACACGGGAGGAGGTGAACTGGCTCTTTGCGGCAAGTGCTGTTCCCGACCACCTGCGGAGGCTCGCACGGGCGCACGAGGTGGTGTTGGGTCCTCCTTCGCATGCGCCGATGCTGATGTGCCAGCTACCCTTTCTAAGGGCCGAGTCAACTTACGTGAGTCCCGGGACCAGTTGAGAGGTGTTTCACAATGTGTGTGTTGTTGTTGTTGTTACCCCCAGGGTCCATGTGAAGTTCTACGTGCACGAAAAGACGTTCAAGGAACGCTGCAAACTTTTCTTCATCAAGAACAAGCGATCGAGTAAGGTTTTGCCCTGTCTTAGAGATCATCCATATCGCCGATAACAACAGAGGGGTCGTTTGACCATACTTCACCACGCTGGCCAGTGGAAGTTGACGGAGGCCCTGGAGCCAGAGTCATGGGAGGCAAACTTAGGAACGATTTAGGTTCCAGAGTTCTGTTCGTAAGTCGATTTGTTCGTAGGTCCAACCTTACTCCTGTCGAATGCACACATGATGTACGGCTTGTACACTAAACATGGGGAATGGCTTTTAACATTGTTTAATCTCCTGTAGATGTAGATGCCACTGGTTCTTCATGCTCTGTAGATGTATATGCCACTGGTTCTTCATATTCTGCAAATGTAGATACCACTGGTTCTTCATGTTCTGCAGATGTAGATGCCACTCGTTCTTCACGTTATGCAGATATAGATGCCACTGGTTCTTCATGTTCTGCAGATGTAGATTTCACTGGATCTTCACGTTCTGTAGATGTAGATGCCACTGGTTCTTCATGTTCTGTAGATGTAGATACCAACGGTTCTTCATGTTCTGTATATGTAGATGCCACTAGTTCTTCACGTTCTGTAGATGTAGATGACACTGGTTCTTCATGTTATACAGATGTAGATGCCACTAGTTCGTCATGATTCTGTAGATGTAGATGCCACTGGTTCTTCACGTTTTACAGGTGTAGATGCCACTGGTTCTTCACGTTTTACAGATGTAGATACCACCATCGCCAATTATTGCTCGACGGTTGAACCTACGACTCTCGGTCCAAAAGGGCAACTGGACATACGGGACTAGGATTGTCCGTATCTCTGAAAGTTCGTAAGTCGAACGTTCGTAAGTAGAGGAGTCCCTGTACAGAAACCCGCCAAACAAGGTGCGAGTTGACGAAGGTCCGGATCCATAGTTGTACGGTACAACAGTTGATTTTGGTTATTCTGCTCTGTTTTGTGTTTTGCTTGATGGGGGGGGGGGGCGGTATTTTAGTCACTAAAACAAATCAGTTGGGTTGTAAGCATGGATGAGTGCTTGTAATTGGCAGCAATGACGGAAAAATGCGGCCCTATTTATGAGTGTCATAATTGTTTGCGTTTTATAGCTGCCTGCCTTGAGCAATATGCTTCTAAAAATTTCCACTGACATACACAAAAACAAAAGACAAAGATCTCCTGTATAGTCTTAACAGACCGTTGGGGCAAGTGCTGCAAACGAGCACCTATTAAGGCTGGCACTGCACACCATGCCCGACTGCGCTTTTATCTCCTCAGTGGCGATGTTTACACACTGCGCCAGGTACTCATTTGAGGCTGAGTCGTCGACTCAGAGGAGGCACAGAACCGGTTCAGATAACCGTCACTGATGTTGGCAAGTGAGCGGGAATCGAACTCGGGTTACCGGGTTTGTAGCGCAGTGCATTAACCGCTACACCACCTCTCCCTACACACGCACACACACACACAGGTGCAAATACATACACGCGCGCGGGTTGGCTGCACCTGCAGATGTAACGTTTGCAGCGTTGAATATTAATGAAAGGTCACTAAGGGGCTATGCACACATTGCCACGGCAATTAATTTGCCAAATAAATGGAACGTGGAACGTAAAAGTGTGAAAGTGCAATCGTTGACCGCTGCCAAGGTTGAGGAGGACAAGGCCTAGGTTCTGAACCCACACAAGCCCTGCGTAGGCCGTAGGGCCTCACGTGGCCACGGAACCTACAGGTCATTCTGCCGTGGTCTCCCCTGAGCCAAGAGCATCCCGTTGGCACTCGAGACCAATTGTGGTGTTGCCACATTGTTGCGGCATGAAATTGCGATCCATAATTGTGTTTTTTTTTTTAATGGTTAGAGCTCATAAATATAAATGTGTCGTTAAACCCGCCGCAACCCTAGACGGTCAATTGGTAAGGTTTGTCATGTAAACAAAATGCGCCGATTCGTTACTAGTACAGCACACATAGGTGGGTTGGAGAGTACACCCGCAACATTTACAATTTGAGTGCCGTGACGTCTTACAGGTAATTACAACCAGCATTATCAGGCGACAGCCAGAGTTGTGGATAAATCCTCCTGTTTCAGTTTTAAACAGATGGGGGATAAGTGTGATGTCGTCACTTGTGAACCAATCAGGTATGAAGGCCAGTTGGTGGACGGGGGGGGGGGGGGTTAATGTATTCATAGAAATTACAATGGATATCCGGTGGGGTTATTCATAGGGTAATCACATACATTATGCATGCGCATTATGGAGCAACAAAATGCACGCACATCCTTCCATTTAAAGTGCAAAAAAAATCGCACTACGTGTGGTGGCCTGTTTCGGCATGCAGTTAAACAATAATGGAAAGAAGGACATCTCAATACTAGAAGAGGAACTAGAGTTTGTTCTCCTACAGCGCCACGTGTGGTTTTCACATTGGCAATTGGGTATGTAACGCGATCGAGTGAACAGAACTACATCACAGCCCGAGTCGGAACAAGCGGTCGTAATACGGCTGCCTTGGTGTAGCATCACCAGATAAGGCCTTGGGATGCTGCTGGATGCTTCTAGATGATACCAACGTACCTCAGTCTTTGATCGGCCTGCATATGCATCTCACGTGGTATCGCGTATTGTGCTTTACCCCCTATATTATATATTATTTATTATAATGCGTTTTTTCCATGAAGCGGTGTTATTCATGAACGCAAATACTACCGCCACGTTACAATGGAACAGACTGTGCATGCGAATTTGTCATCATCAGTGGAATTTTGTTGTTATTATTATTTGCAACTCATAAAAGCCAGGAATTGTAATGCTCCCCTGGAGGATTTGAATCTTTCCCAGGCAAACTTTTGTCAAAAAGAGCAACATTCTAAGAAACCAGGAGAGTGATAAGAGGGTCACCACCGGTCCGGTTTTGACCAGGACAGTGCAGGAATTGGAATTTGTGCTCGGGTGGCTGGAATAGGTTTGTACTTAGATGTTGCAGTTCATGGTACAGTTGCGATTATATACCTGCTGCTGAAGATAATGGATTGGTGGGGGGTGATGAGATATGGTCCGATGTGTGAAGACTGGAAATGGTGGCTGGCAATGAGGAGACAGGTATGAGGGGGAGGAAATCGAAGAGGTGACCATGGGGGTAAGAGGGGGCGTCGAAGGGGTGATGGGGGGGGGTGAGAGCTGTGGATGAAGGAGGGAGCTGCGGATAGAGAGGAAAGAGCTATGGAAGCATTAGGGAGCTGTGAATAGAGAGGAGAGACCTGTGGATAGAGAGGAGAAAGCTGTGGATGGAGGGAGCTGTGGATCGAGAGGGGGGAGCTCTGCATGAAGGAAGGAGCTGTGGACAGAGAGGAGAGAGCTGTGGATGCAGGAGCGAGGTGTGGACAGAGTGGAGAAAGTTGCGGGTGAAGGAGGGAGCTGTGGATAGAGAGGAGAGAGCTGTGGATGAAGGAGGGACCGGTAGATATAAATAAGAGAGCTGTGGATAAAGGATGGAGCTGCGGATATAGAAGAGAGAGCTGTGAATGGAGGGAGCTGTGGATAGAGAGGGGGGAGCTGTGGATGAAGGAAGGAGCAGTGGATCGAGAGGAGAGAGCTATGGATAAAGGAGAGAGCTGCGGATAGAGAAGAGAGAGCTGTGGATGAAGGAAGGAGCTGTGTGACGGAAAAGGTGGAATAAAAGGACTGGAACTCGTGCCTGTCTCTGCGTGTTGGCGAGAGTGTCCGCTACAATTTGATGGGACTGCTCTGCGCATAGGATGCTGTCCACTGTCTCTATGTCCCCTGTAGTGGTGGCGGTGGTAGCAGTGGCGGTCGTGCAGCGGTTAGCATGCTGCGCTATAAACCCGGCGACCTGACTTTAATTCCCACTCACGACCAGTGTCAGTGACGGATATCTGAACTGGTCCTGGGCCTCTCCTCTGTATACCTGTTGCGGTGTGCAAACATCAGCAATAGGGAGACAAAGTCGGCCGGGCGTGATGGTGGCCACCCCATCCCCTCGTGTGCGGTGCCGGCCTTCATAGGTGCTACTCACGGACAGCACTTGCCCCAACAGTTTGTTAAAGCTATATGGGTGTGGGGGGGGGTGGGATCTTTGTCTGCGACTTCGGTGCGTGCAGGCCTCCGCATCCGCGTGTTCAACTTCGCGCTCAAGGTGCTGACGTGCGTGCTGTACGTGTGCCGCGTGGTGCTGGACGACCCCAAGGACAATGGCTATGGCTGGTGAGACGGGTCCGTGGGGCTCCCGACGCCGTCCCCCCTGACCCCCGATCCGAAATCCAATTCCGCAAACAAAAAACTTAAAAAACTGCCAACCATAAAAAAAACGAATGCCAGCACGCGCGCATGTGAGTGAATGACGGGCACATCTTGGTGGTGTTAAACAAAATCTCCCCCCCCGCCCCCTTTGGAGTGGATGGATTCACTTGCACCCAGCTCAGATCGTTGGCAGTGTTTTCACCCGGGGGGTGACATCGACGTCTATCTTCTGCAATTCCACCAGCTTTGCCACTTGGCGTTCCGACACACGTGCTCAGAGGCCGACATGTGAACGGCAGCGGAGCATGCGAAGTTCGTGTCTGTGTCACGAGGCTGACTGCTGATGAGACGCGTAAAAGGCTGAAGCCAGGCCGGAATGGTTTCTTGCGTAACCAAATGCCGCTTGAGTGAAATAAGATAACGCAAAGCCAGTCAGCTGACGGACTTAAACATATACATTTGTATTCATGTCCAGAGGCACATTTATACATGTTATTTCCCCTATGATGTTCCCTGGCAATGCATGTGATTTTTTTTATTTATTTTTTTTTCAATTGATTTCCAACTGCGTGACTTTACCGAAAGAACCAAACTGTATAAATGCATAGCGAGTTTGCGGCTGGTAACTTTACATCATCACCTGGGAGCGCGTGAAGCTCCATTCAGTGTCGGGAAAAGATGGACAGTGATTTCTGTCTGAAATGCAGAAGTCCCGCACGCTCAACGTGCTGTGCAAAATTTAAATCGCCACTTGCAGATGACACTGACGAGTACCCACTCACATCTCTGCCCACATCGCTATCCGCCTCCTCTCATATCTCTAACCACGTCTCTACCCACGTCTCTACTCACCAAGGCCGTAGCCATGGAGTCAACATTGGGGGGTACCCAAATCTTCCAGGGTGTCTGGGGGTCCCAACCCAGAAAAATATCTACATTTGAAAACTCATTCCTGCCTAAAATATAAAAACATCACTAACACATGGGATTGACTTTGTATTTATTTTTTTACAATAATGTCTAATAGTGTGTATTGTATTACATTGCTCCGTTTTTACTTTTTTACTATTTCTTGTTTCATTGTATGTAATGGCAGAGATTAGGGATTAATAAAGTACAACCATAACCACAATCATATGAACAGAAATCTATGCATTGATTTATATGAAGACAAGTTCAGATATTGTGGCCAAGGTTTAGTAAATTGTTGTTTTTATTTACATAGCATAGCAATTATTTTTATAGCAATATATTGGGGGGGGGGACATTTTGAGCATATTTGAATATTGGGGGAGATATGTCCCACCCCAATATGTATTATAATTACGGCCTTGATTATCACCACTCTATCCACGTCTTTACCCACCACTCTACCCATTCTATGAAGAAGGGGGATTGTTGATTCTTGATTTGAAGCTTTTGTAACGCCAGGAATCCATGCTCTTTGGTTCTTTCGGTAAAGTCACGTAGGTATTAAAATAAATCACGACGTTTCGGGCGGAACACAAGCGTCCGTCATCAGGTGGGACGGACGCTTGTGCTGCGCACGAAACGTCGTGATTTATTTTATTTTATACCTACGTGACTTTACTGAAAAAAAAACCAAACAGTAGGAATTGTTGATGTTGTTTGTGTGATGACATGAGAGAGTTTGAGCTGTTCTTTTGTTTGTGTTGTTGTTGTTGTTGATTTCTTTGTTTAGCTGGGAATGCCCCAAGCAGAACTTCACGGAATTTGATGCCAACGCCCCAATTAACTGGTAAGAGGTGGGATATATGAAATAGTTAGGTGAACAGTCGTCATAACGACAATACAGGGACTCCTATACTTACGAACATTCGACTTACGAACTTTCAGATATACGAACAAATCTGTCCGTACGTCCAGTTGCCTGTTTGGACCGAGAGTCGTTACGTGAAACCGCCGCGCAAAATATGGTGGCTGTATCGACATCTACAAAACATGAAGATCCAGTGGCATCTACATCTGCAGGCGATGATACAACTTTTAAAGCCATTCCCCGTGTTTAGTGTACACGCCGTACAACACGTTTGGAGTCCACAGGAGTAAAGTTAAACTTACGAACAAATCGACTTACGAACAGACCTCTGGAACCTAACTCGTTCGTAAGTAGAGGAGTGCCTATATATAATTATTATTATTTCCTGCTCCTTTAGTCAATCCACTGCCGGATGAAGGCCTCCCCATTCCGCGTCGGTGAATTTTTCCCCCTGCTTCAAATTTACATTTGGCCGGATAATCCCGTGGCACGGTGGGGTCATCTTCTAGGCATCTGTGTCCAGGGGGCACCGATTGGCTGCACGCTCAGCGAACACACGCGATGACGCGTACACACACCAACCAATCGCCACTCAGCGACGTCACCACGGCACCTGCGCCGGGCTCAGGGGCCGTCCATAAATGACGTCACGCACCTAGGGGGGAGGGGGGGTGTCAGACATTTGTGACGATGTGTGACGACGGGGGGGGGGGGGGGTGTTGAGAGATGTGACGTCACATAAAAATGCGCAACTTTAAATAAATATAGGCAACACGTTCTACTTAATTAAATAGACTTTTTAATAAATGTTTTTTTCTCCTACAACATCAGAGCGTAGCGCCACATTAAATACGCACTACAATGACAATTGTTTAAAGCAATTTGAAGCATGTTTTATTTTCTTTGGGGGGGGGGGTAGAGCTTTGTGACGTCATATTTAAGTGGGGGGGGTCTGACTTTTTGTGACGTCGTGTGACGAAGGGGGGGGGGTGGTCAAAAATCGTCCAAAATCGCGTGACGTCATTTATGGACGGCCCCTAAATGCACCGTGAGGCCACGTGAAGTGTCGATGGCTCGCTGGCAGGAGGACACGGGACAGTGCCACGGGTTGACTGAGATGACTTGCCCCCCATACGGTGCCAACTTACTGGGCTTTAGGCGTTGCTGTGAGCGTCGCTCCTCCACCCTCCCCACGTTGAGGGCGACTGCCCTCCAACTGTCGATGGCGTCCTTCACGAGCCCCCTCCTCCTCCATAGAGGCCGATCTTGACACCGGAAGCTACCGGTCATCGGCAAGTCCACTGAGCTCCACCATATCCTCCTGTACCGCATCGGCCCCATCTCTTCCCCAGCCCATGTGGTGGTGGCTGGGCATGTGGGCTACTCGTATACACACAGAGACAAAGATCCCCCGTATAGCGTAAACAGACTGCTAGGGCAAGTGCTGTTAGCGAGCTCCTGTGAAGGCTTGAACGGCACACGACGGGGTGGGTGGCCAACACCACGCCCGGCCGCCTTTGTCTTCCACGTGTTTTGCACACACCGCACCGGGTACTCATTTGAGGCTGAGTCGACCAAGGGGGGGAGGCCCAAGACCATTTCAGATAATCGTCACCGGTTTTGGCCGTGAGCGGGAATCGAACTCGGTGCTCTGCCGGGTTCGTAGCGGAGCCCACAACTAACCACGACACCACCGCTCCCGACGCACGCACGCGCACACGCACGCACGCTCGTGTACTCTCAAAGCATGATCGGCACGTAGTTAAATGCTTGAGCACCACGCGAGAATGCAACTCGCGTGTGTCGGGGAAGCTTCGCAACGACACATTTGGCCAGATCGTCACTTGGCCTAAGGGGCCGGCCATAGATGACGTCACGCACCTGGGGGGGTGGGGGGTCAGACATTCGTGACGATGTGTGACCAGGGGGGAGGGGGGGGTTGAGAAACGTGACGTCACATCAAAATGCAAAATGGGCAACTTTACATAAATATGTAATTATATTCTTGGTTCCTTCAGTAAAGTCACGTAGATGGGAAACAATAAAATAATAAAAATATAAAACAGTACAATTCTCACGACGTTTCGACTGCAACACAAGCGATGATCATCAGGTGTGAAAACCACAGCAAAAAAAAAGTGGCGAATTTTTCTTAACGTTAGCACCACGGACAGCGATTTGGCAGTTTATGCAGATGGACGAGTCCATCTATGTTCGGAAAAGAGGAGGGGGGAGACTAAGATAATGGAATGTGTTCTGAATGCCACCGTAAGCATGAACAATCAATGAAGACCCGAAATGGTTTATCAAATCCTTCCAATGATTGCTAAGCCAGAATCCATCTTCTCCGTTGAAATTGTCTCTGTGTTTGTATATGTGGATAGCCTCATGAACGAATCTCTCATGGTAGCCAGATGGCTTGCAGAGAACCTCTGTCTTGGAGAAGTCAATGTCATGTGAGCTTACTGAATTATAACAGTGATCTTCCACGGCCGAGGTGTTGGTCCTACCGTGTTTTAGGTCTGCTTTGTGTTCACGGATGCGGTCCGAGACATGTCATTTGGTTTCTCCAATGTAACTACTACCACAGAGGCAACTTAGTTTGTAGACGCCAGGGTACTGTATGTCCGGAATCACATATTTTACAGAGGGAATCAGATCACGGATTTTATGTAATGTGTTGTAGTTACATTGGAGAAACCAAACGACATGTCTCGGACCGCATCCGTGAACACAAAGCAGACCTTAAATACGATAGGACCAACACCTCGGCCGTGGAATATCACTGTTATAATTCATTGGGCTCACATGACATTGACTTCTCCAAGACAGAGGTTCTCTGCAAGCCATCTGGCTACCATGAGAGTTTCGTTCATGAGGCTATCCACATATACAAACACAGAGACAATTTCAACCGAGAAGATGGATTCTGGCTTAGCAATCATTGGAAGGATTTGATACACCATTTCGGGTCTTAATTGATTGTGTTTACGTTTACGGTGGCTTTCAGACCGCATTCCAAACTGCCAAATCGCTCTCCATGGTGCTAACGTTTAAAAAAAAACGCCACCTTTTTCAAATTTTCTTGCTGTGGTTTTCATACCTGATGATGATTGCTTGTGTTGCAGTCGAAACGTCGTGAGAATTTTATTGTTTTATATTTTTATTATTTTATTGTTTCCCTTCTACGTGACTTTACCTAAAGAACAAAGAATATGAATCCCTGCAGTCACGAAAGCTTTATATGAAAAAAAATATGTAATTGTTATAACAACACTAATTGTTAGAACAACACTCCTACATCAGAGTGTAGCGCCACATTAAGTACGCACTGCAATGACAATAGTTTAAAGCGATTTGAAGCATGTTTTATTTTCAAAATGGAAATATGGTTTGGGGGGAGGGTGGGCAGAGCTTTGTGACGTCATATTTGAGGGGGGGTCTGTCTTTTTGTGACGCCGTGTGACGAGGCTTGGGGGGGGGGGGGTCAAAAATCGTCCAAAATCGCGTGACGTCATTTATGGACGGCCCCTAATACAACAACAACAACAAAATCCGTGGCGGATCGAGAAGTCGTGGTAACCCGTTGTGGGTCTATCTGCCTGTACCCGCAGGTGGCTGATCTGGTGGGTGGACAGGGGAATGTTCTTCTGGGTCTCCCAGGTGAGCGGGCGACACTGACGGCACCATCACCGTCGTCGCAACCGCCAGAATCCCCACCGCCATCACCAGTATTATCGCTTCCACCATCCACACCATCATCATCATCATAAAAGCCACCACCGCAACCAACACCATCGCCAGCACCACCATCATCACCACCGCCATCATCGCCAGCACAACCATCACCGCCACCATAATCGCTACCACCATCACCAATATCACCTTCACCATCCACACCATCATCATCATAAAAGCCACCACCGCAACCAACACCATCACCAGCACCACCATCATCACCACCGCCATCATCGCCAGCACCACTACCATCACCGCCACCATCGCCACCACCATCACCAATATCACCTTCATCATCCACACCATCATCATCATAAAAGCCACCACCATCATCGCAATCACCACACTCACCACCATCATTGCGAGCACCACCATCACGGGCCAGGCATTAATAAAAGTTGTCGTTCTTAACGCCTGCCTTTGTTTAACTCCTGCAGGTGACTCTAGCCATCATCAGCCTCCTTGAAACGATGCTTCTTACGTTCCTCAACTACAAGGTGAACTCGACAATATACAAAGTACACGTGTGTGTGTGTGTACATGTGTCTGTGTGTGTCGGGGAAGCTCTATTTGGCCAGATCGTTCGTGGGGAGCGGTAGTGTAGCGGTTAGCGCTACGCTGCGCTATGAACCCGGAGATCTGGGTTCGATTCCCGCTCACGGCCAGCACCCAGTGACGATTATCTGAACCGGTCCTGGGCCTCCCCTAGGTTGACTCAGCCTTAAATGAGTACCTGGTGCGATATGTAAACATCGTCACTGGGGAGACAAAGGCGGCCGGACGTGGTGTTGGCCACCTAACCCCTCGTGTACCACTCCGGCCTTCATAGGTGCTCGCTCACAGCACTTGCCCCAACAGTCTGTTACAGGCTACAATCTTTGTCTTTGAGCAGTAGCGTAGTGGTTAGCGCACTGCGCTGTTAGCCCGGTGACCCGAGTTCCATTCCCGTTATCGGCCAACATCAGTGACGATTATCTGAACCAGTCCTGCTGGGCTTCCCCTACGTCGACTGGGACTCAAGTGAGTACGCGCTGCAGTGGCGAGTCAAACAACGCCTACTCGCTAACAGCAACATCACTTGTTAAAAGCTATCGGAAGGGGTGGATCTTTGTCTTATTCTATTCACTTCCTTTGGACCCATCTCGCGTGGGTGACTTTGAACTCCACTGGTGGACATTTGGAAATGACCTGTGGATGACTGTAGGCAACAGATTGACGGATAGAGGAAATAATAATGTTGTAATTTTGATGAAGTTACACGGTTGTTGTTATTGTTGTGATTGCGTAGCTGCCAACCCATACGGTTTACCCCGTATTATTGTACAGGGAAATTGCGTGTTCAGGCCCATACGGCGTACAGCCGTTTCAATACGGGAAACAAACGCTTCATGTTGTCTATGTGTTTGTGTTTATCCCTTGTGATGATGGGACTTTGTAGGGTGAACGTTGAGATTTATGAGGGGCACGGGGTCACCAATAAGGTGTCTGAATTGGTCTGTAATAGGGTGAGCCACTGATAAGGGGTTGACAGCTGTGTGTGATTGGTGGGTTTCTCAGGGAAACATCTGGGAGCAGGTGCTGCAGGTTTCGTTCGTGCTGGAGGTCGTCACGACCATTCCCTTCATCATCACGGTAAGGCTGGTGGGATCGGGAGCAGTTTGGCACCGATTAGCAACGGTTGTACGGTGCGAAAGAAGTTCAACATGAATACATACTGCCCATAGACTACCACTGCCCATAGACTCAACACTGCCCATAGACTCAACACTGCCCATAGACTCAACACTGCGCGTAGACTCAACATTGCCCATAGACTCAACACTGCCCATAGACTCAACACTGCCCAAAGAATCAACACTGCCCATAGACTCAACACTACCCATAGACTCAACACTGCCCATAGACTCAACGCTACCCATAGACTCAACACTACCCATAGACTCAACACTGCACATAGACTCAACGCTACCCATAGACTCAACACTGCCCATAGACTAAACACCGCCCATAGATTCAACACTGCCCATAGATTCAACACTGCCCATAGACTCAACACTGCCCAAAGAATCAACACTGCCCATAGACTCAACACTACCCATAGACTCAACACTGCACATAGACTCAACACTGCCCATAGACTCAACACTACCCATAGACTCAACACCCATAGACTCAACACTGCCCATAGACTCAACACTGCACATAGACTCAACACTGCACATAGACTCAACACAGCCCATAGACTCAACACTGCCCATAGATTCAACACTGCCCATAGACTCAACACTGCCCATAGACTCAAGATGATGACGATGAAGACGATGACGAAGATGACGATTATGAAGATGAAGACAATGACGATGACGATGAAGACGACGACGACGATGAAAACGATGCCGATGAAGACGACGATGACGATGATGTCGTTGTTGTCGCTCTGCAGATATTCGTCACCCACCTGCGCAGTGCCTTCATCCCGGTCTTCCTCAACTGCTGGCTGGCCAAGCTGGCGCTGCAGAACCTCATCGTGAGCCCATCAATGCCCCTACGGATCGCTGCCCATCGCTGCCCCCTGCCGCTGCCCTGTACTGCCCCCTCCGCTGCCCATCGCTGGCCCTGCCTCTGCTCATCCTGCGCGCCGCCGCTGCCCACATCCCTGCCCTCACCGCCGCCCATCGCTGCCGCCTCCGTTGCTCACCGCCGCCGCTGCCGATCGCTCTCCAACCGCCGTCGCTGGCCATCGCTACCCCCTCCACTGCCTATCGCCGCCGCCCCCCGTGCTGTCCATCGCTGTCCCCCTCCGCGGCCCATCGCCGCCCCCGCAACAGCAGCATTGCAATACAAATACGGCAGTAGAATTTCTATGGTGGGGTCTTGAATGCGAGCGCGTATCGAGACACTTCGCGGGGGAGACCGAAAACCGAGCTCCCGGCACACGGAAACAAACAGGGTCTCGAGTTGGACCAGTACGGCTGAGTCTCAACCGCACCATCGTCACCATCGCCATCATCGTCATCATCACCATCAACATTGTCATCATCACCATCATCGTCATCGTCATCGCCATCGTCATCATCACCATCGTCATCATCACCATCATCGTCATCGTCATCACCATCGTCATCACCATCGTCATCATCACTATCACCATCGCCATCATCGTGATCACCATCATCACCATCGTCATCACCATCGTCATCATCACTATCGTCATCATCACCATCATCGTCATCGTCATCACCATCGTCATCACCATCGTCATCATCACTATCACCATCGCCATCACCATCATGGTCATCATCGTCATCACCATCATCTTGATCATCATCACTGTCATCACCGTTGTCATCGTCATCATTATCATCATCACCATCATCATCACCATCGTCATCATCATCATCATCACCATCATCGTCATCATCACCATCATCATCGTCATCACCGTCATCACCATCGCCATCATCACTATCACCATCGCCATCATCATCACTGTCGTCATCATCATGGTCGTCATCATTGTCGTCATTATCATCACCATCATCACCAACATCATGATTGTCGTCGTCATCATCATCACCGTCATCACCAATATCACCATCGTCATCACCAATATCAGCATCGTCATCATCATCATCACCATCATCATCGTCATCACCATCATCATCGTCATCATCATCGTCATCATCGTCATCATCGTCATAATCGTCATCATCGTCATCATCACCATCATCGTCATCACCATCGTCATCATCATCGTCATCATCATCATCGTCATTATCGTCGTCATCATCGTCATCATCACCGTCATCACCATTGTCATCATCATCGTCATCATCATCAACATCATCATCATCATAGTCATCATCATCATAGTCATCATCAACATCATCATCGTCATCATCATCATCGTCATCATCACCGTCATCATTGTCATCACCATCGTCATCACCATCGTCATCATCACCGTTAACACCATCATCATCATCACCATCATCACCGTCATCATCACCCTCGTCATCGCCATCGTCATCATCACAGTCATCATCGTCATCATCACCCTCGTCATCGCCATCGTCATGCTTACCGGTTGCTCTGTTGTTCCCCTGCCGCCAGAACGATCTGCACCGCGCCATACAACGTGCCCAGTCTGCCATGTTCAACCAGGTCCTCATGCTCATCTCCACGCTGGTCTGCCTCATGTTCACATTGTGAGTGCCCGCTCACTCCACCTCACCGTGCCTCACCGCGCCTCACCACACCCCACCACACGCCACCCTTGAAGAAGCAGGGATCTCAGAGGTAGGTCTGTGAGATCCTCTTCCGTAGGCCGTTATGTGTGGACTAGATAGCATCACGTGAAGAGGAAGGGATTTCAGAGGTAGGTCTGTGAGATCCACTTACGTAGGCCGTTATGTGTGGAATAGAGAGCATCAATTGAAGAGGAAGCAATCTCAGAGGCAGGTCTGTGATATCCACTTCCGTAGGCCGTTATGTGTGGACTAGACAATCACTTGAAGAAGAAGGGATCTCAGAGGCAGGTCTGTGATATCCACTTCCGTAGGCCGTTATGTGTGGAGTAGAGCATCACTTGAAGAGGAAGGGATCTCAGAGGTAGGTCTGTGATATCCACTTCCGTAGGCCGTTATGTGTGGAGTAGAGAGCATCACTTCAAGAGGAAGGGATCTCAGAGGTAGGTCTGTGATATCCACTTCCGTAGGCCGTTATGTGTGGACTAGAGCATCACTTGAAGAGGAAGGGATCTCAGAGGTAGGTCTGTGATATCCACTTCCGTAGGCCGTTATGTGTGGAGTAGAGAGCATCACTTCAAGAGAATGGGATCTCAGTGGTAGATCTGTGATATCTACTTCCGTAGGCCGTTATGTGTGGACTAGACCATCACTTGAAGAAGAAGGGATCTCAGAGGCAGGTCTGTGATATCCACTTCCGTAGGCCGTTATGTGTGGAGTAGAGCATCACTTGAAGAGGAAGGGATCTCAGAGGTAGGTCTGTGATATCCACTTCCGTAGGCCGTTATGTGTGGAGTAGAGCATCACTTGAAGAGGAAGGGATCTCAGAGGTAGGTCTGTGATATCCACTTCCGTAGGCCGTTATGTGTGGACTAGAGCATCACTTGAAGAGGAAGGGATCTCAGAGGTAGGTCTGTGATATCCACTTCCGTAGGCCGTTATGTGTGGAGTAGAGAGCATCACTTCAAGAGAATGGGATCTCAGTGGTAGATCTGTGATATCTACTTCCGTAGGCCGTTATGTGTGGACTAGACCATCACTTGAAGAAGGGATCTCAGTGGTAGATCTGTAATTTCCACTTCCGTAGGCCGTTATGTGTGGAGTAGAGAGCATCACTTGAAGAGGAAGGGATCTCAGAGGTAGGTCTGTGATATCCACTTCCGTAGGCCGTTATGTGTGGACTAGCGCATCACTTGAAGAGGATGGGATCTCAGAGGTAGGTCTGTGAGATCCACTTCCGTAGGCCGTTATGTGTGGAGTAGAGAGCATCACTTGAAGAAGCAGGGATCTCAGAGGTAGGTCTGTGATATCCACTTCCGTAAGCCGTTATGTGTGGACTAGAGCATCACTTGAAGAAGCAGGGATCTCAGAGGTAGGTCTGTGATATCCACTTCCGTAAGCCGTTATGTGTGGACTAGAGCATCACTTGAAGAAGCAGGGATCTCAGAGGTAGGTCTGTGATATCCACTTCCGTAGGCCGTTATGTGTGGACTAGAGCATCACTTGAAGAGGAAGGGATCTCAGAGGTAGATCTGTGATATCCACTTCCGTAGGCCTCTATGTGTGGACTAGACCATCACTTGAAGAGGAAGGGATCTCAGAGGTAGGTCTGTGATATCCACTTCCGTAGGCCGTTATGTGTGGACTAGAGCATCACTTCAAGAGAATGGGATCTCAGTGGTAGATCTGTGATATCCACTTCCGTAGGCCGTTATGTGTGGACTAGATAGCATCACTTCAAGAGAAAGCCATCTCAGAGGTAGGTCTGTGATATCCACTTCCGTAGGCCGTTATGTGTGGACTAGAGCATCACTTGAAGAGAATGGGATCTCAGAGGTAGGTCTGTGATATCCACTTCTGCGCTGTGCTCTGCGAGATTTCCGAACGGATTCTTCCACAGGCGAGAAGCAATGTGAATGGAAAGCGCCTTCGATATACTGTAGCATGTTGGCGAAACTTTTTTTTTTCACGTAAACAGAACGTGGCCAATCCGTCACTAGCACAGCACTAGCGTATAGAGTAGTGTATAGTGTAGTGTATAGTGTAGTGTATAGTGTAGTGTATAGTGTAGTGTATAGTAGTGTATAGTGTAGTATATAGTGTAGTGTATAGTGTAGTGTATAGTGTAGTGTATAGTATATAGTGTAGTGTATAGTGTAGTGTATAGTATAGTGTATAGTGTAGTGTAAAGTGTAGTGTATAGTGTAGTGTATAGTGTAGTGTATAGTGTAGTATATAGTGTAGTGTATAGTGTAGTGTATAGTGTAGTATATAGTGGAGTGTATAGTGCAGCATATAGTGCAGTGTATAGTGTAGTATATAGTGTAGTGTATAGTGTAGTGTGTAGTGTATAGTGTAGTGTATAGTATAGTGTAGTGTATAGTGTAGTGTATAGTGTAGTATATAGTGTAGTATATAGTGTAGTGTATAGTGTAGTATATAGTGTAGTGTATAGTGTAGTGTATAGTGTACTAGTACAGCACACCGGTGTGTTGGAGAGCCAAGCCACAACATTGACAATCTGAGCACGACGTTTCGCCAGTAATTACAACCAGTTTCATCAGTCGGCATTGTTTTTTTTAACGTAACTTTATTAATTAATTTAAAAAAAAATCCCTGTCCCCCCCCCCGCCGCCCCCTCCCCCCTCGCCCCCTCTCCTGCCTGCAGCATTTGCGGCATCCAGCACCTGGAGCGTGCGGGCGGCTGCCTCTCGCTCTTCGACTCGCTCTACTTCTGCATCGTCACCTTCTCCACCGTGGGATTCGGAGACGTCACGCCACAGATCTGGCCCTCGCAGCTCCTCGTCGCATTCATGATCTGCGTGGCACTCATGGTGTTGCCCGTGCAGGTGAGGCGAGGTTAGGTGGTGGGGGAGGGGGTGGTGGTGGTGGTGATGGTGGCGGGGGGGGTGGTGGTCAACGCGGTGAATCAATGGCACAAATCGCAGCCCCGAGCATTGAGAATCAATCGCGGATCGCCCTGGCACGCGATGTGTCGTCTCTCCGTGCCAGGGCGGTGGGGGGGGGTGGGGGTAGATCCACGGCGCTCGGGCGGACACAATCCGGCAAACAGGGTGGCAGTGAGGGGCTTGGCGGGTCGAGGGGCCACAAGTCGGACCGTTGCTCGCCTCTCTTCCACCCCCTGATCCCTCCTCGCCTCTCCTCCATCCCCTGTCCCTCCTCGCCTCTCCTCCACCCCCTGTCCCTCCTCGCCTCCACCCCCTGTCCCTCCTCGCCTCTCCTCCACCCCCTGTCCCTCCTCGCCTCTCCTCCACCCCCTGTCCCTCCTCCCCTCTCCTCCACCCCCTGTCCCTCCTCGCCTCTCCTCCACCCCCTGTCCCTCCTCCCCTCTCCTCCACCCCCTGTCCCTCCTCGCCTCTCCTCCACCCCTGTCCCTCCTCCCCTCTCCTCCACCCCCTGTCCCTCCTTGCCTCTCCTCCCCCCCCTGTCCCTCCTCCCCTCTCCTCCACCCCCTGTCCCTCCTCGCCTCTCCTCCACCCCCTGTCCCTCCTTGCCTCTCCTCCACCCCCTGTCCCTCCTCGCCTCTCCTCCACCCCCTGTCCCTCCACGCCACTCCTCCACCCCCTGTTCCTCCTCTCCTCCACCCCCTGTCCCTCCTCGCCTCTCCTCCACCCCCTGGTCCCTCCTCGCCTCTCCTCCACCCCCTGTCCCTCCTCTCCTCCACCCACTGTCACTCCTCGCCTCCACCCCCTGATCCCTCCTTGCCTCTCCTCCATCCCTTGTCCCTCCTCTCCTCTCCTCCACCCCCTGTCCCTCCTCGCCTCTCCTCCACCCCCTGTCCCTCCTCGCCTCTCCTCCACCCCCTGTCCCTCCTCGCCTCTCCTCCACCCCCTGTCCCTCCTCGCCTCTCCTCCACCCCCTGTCCCTCCTCGCCTCTCCTCCACCCTCTGTCCCTCCTCGCCTCTCCTCCACTCCCTGTCCCTCCTCGCCTCTCCTCCACCCCCTGTCCCTCCTCTCCTCTCCTCCACTCCCTGTCCCTCCTCGCCTCTCCTCCACCCCCTGTCCCTCCTCGCCTCTCCTCCACCCCCTGTCCCTCCTCGCCTCTCCTCCACCCCCTGTCCCTCCTCGCCTCTCCTCCACCCCCTGTCCCTCCTCGCCTCTCCTCCACCCCCTGTCCCTCCTCGCCTCTCCTCCACCCTCTGTCCCTCCTCGCCTCTCCTCCACTCCCTGTCCCTCCTCGCCTCTCCTCCACCCCCTGTCCCTCCTCTCCTCTCCTCCACTCCCTGTCCCTCCTCGCCTCTCCTCCAACCCCTGTCCCTCCTCGCCTCTCCTCCAACCCCCTGTCCCTCCTCGCCACTCCTCCACCCCCTGTCCGTCCTCGCAGTTTGAGCAGCTGGCCTTCCTGTGGATGGAGCGGCAGAAGTGTGGCAGCGGCAACTACAGCCGCTACCGCGCGCTCACTGAGCGTCACGTGGTGCTGTGCGTGAGCTCGCTCAAGATCGACGTCCTCGTCGACTTCCTCAACGAGTTCTACGCTCACCCCCTGCTCCAGGCACCGCTAGACCACCTCACTCGCCCGCTCGCCCCTTCTCATTCACCCCCTCTCACACTCCCCTCTCTCACCATCACACTCCCTCTCTCACCATCACACTCCCTCACTCACCATCACACTCCCTCACTCACCATCACACTCCTTCAATCAATCACCATCAGACTCCCTCTCTTACCATCACACTCCCTCACTCACCATCACACTCCCTCTCTCACCATCACACTCCCTCTCTCACCATCACACTCCCTCACTCACCATCACACTCCCCCTCTCACCATCACACTCCCTCACTCACCATCACACTCCCTCACTCATCATCACACTCCCTCAATCACCATCACACTCCCTCACTCACCATCACACTCCCTCTCTCACCATCACACTCCCTCACTCACCATTACACTCCCTCACTCACCATCACACTCCCTCCCTCACCATCACACTCCCTCACTCACCATCACACTCCCTCACTCACCATCACACTCCCTCTCTCACCATCACACTCCCTCACTCACCATTACGCTCCCTCTCTCACCATCACACTCCCTCACTCACCATCACACTCCCTCTCTCACCATCACACTCCCTCAATCACCATCACACTCCCTCACTCACCATCACACTCCCTCTCTCACCATCACACTCCCTCACTCACCATTACACTCCCTCACTCACCATCACACTCCCTCACTCACCATCACACTCCCTCACTCACCATCACACTTCCTAACTCACCATCACACTCCCTCTCTCACCATCACACTCCCTCACTCACCATCACGCTCCCTCACTCACCATCACACTCCCTCACTCACCATCACACTCCCTAACTCACCATCACACTCCCTCACTCACCATCACACTCCCTCACCATCACACTCCCTCACTCACCATCACACTCCCTCACTCACCATCACACTCCCTCTCTCACCATCACACTCCCTCACTCACCATCATGCTCCCTCACTCACCATCACACTCCCTCACCATCACACTCCCTCACTCACCATCACACTCCCTCTCTCAACATCACACTCCCTCTCTCACCATCACACTCCCTCACTCACCCTCACACTCCCTCTCTCACATCACACTCCCTCTCTCACGATCACACTCCCTCTCTCACCATCACACTCCCCCTCTCACCATCACACTCCCTCACTCACCATCACACTCCCTCACTCACCCTCACACTCCCTCACTCACCGTCACACTCCCTCACTCACCATAACACTCATTCACCATCACACTCCCTCACTCACCCTCACACTCCCTCACTCACCATCACACTCCCTCACTCACCATCACACTCCCTCTCTCACCATCACACTCCCTCTCTCACCATCACACTCCCTCTCTCACCATCACACTCCCTCACTCACCATCACACTCCCTCTCTCACCATCACACTCCCTCACTCACCATCACACTCCCTCGCTCACCATCACACTCCCTCACTCACCATCACACTCCCTCACCATCACACTCCCTCACTCACCATCACACTCCCTCTCTCACCATCACACTCCCTCACTCACCATCACACTCCCTCACTCACCATCACACTCCCTCTCTCACCATCACACTCCCTCTCTCACCATCACACTCCCTCACTCACCATCCCACTCCCTCTCTCACCATCACACTCCCTCACTCACCATCACACTCCCTCACTCACCATCACACTCTCTCACTCACCATCACACTCCCTCTCTCACCATCACACTCCCTCACTCACCATCACACTCCCTCACTCACCATCACACTCCCTCAATCACCATCACACTCCCTCACTCACCATCACACTCCCTCAATCACCATCACACTCCCTCACTCACCATCACACTCCCTCTCTCACCATCACACTCCCCTCACTCACCATCACACTCCCTCACTCACCATCACACTCCCTCACTCACCATCACACTCCCTCACTCACCATCACACTCCCTCACTCACCATCACACTCCCTCACCATCACACTCCCTCTCTCACCATCACACTCCCTCACTCACCATCACACTCCCTCACTCACCATCACACTCCCCCACCATCACACTCCCTCTCTCACGATCACACTCCCTCTCTCACCATCACACTCCCCCTCTCACCATCACACTCCCTCACTCACCATCACACTCCCTCACTCACCCTCACACTCCCTCACTCACCGTCACACTCCCTCACTCACCATAACACTCATTCACCATCACACTCCCTCACTCACCCTCACACTCCCTCACTCACCGTCACACTCCCTCACTCACCATCACACTCCCTCTCTCACCATCACACTCCCTCACTCACCATCACACTCCCTCACTCACCATCACACTCCCTCACCATCACACTCCCTCTCTCACCATCACACTCCCTCACTCACCATCACACTCCCTCACTCACCATCACACTCCCCCACCATCACACTCCCTCTCTCACGATCACACTCCCTCTCTCACCATCACACTCCCCCTCTCACCATCACACTCCCTCACTCACCATCACACTCCCTCACTCACCCTCACACTCCCTCACTCACCGTCACACTCCCTCACTCACCATAACACTCATTCACCATCACACTCCCTCACTCACCCTCACACTCCCTCACTCACCGTCACACTCCCTCACTCACCATCACACTCCCTCTCTCACCATCACACTCCCTCTCTCACCATCACACTCCCTCTCTCACCATCACACTCCCTCACTCACCATCACACTCCCTCTCTCACCATCACACTCCCTCACTCACCATCACACTCCCTCACTCACCATCACACTCCCTCACTCACCATCACACTCCCTCACCATCACACTCCCTCACTCACCATCACACTCCCTCTCTCACCATCACACTCCCTCACTCACCATCACACTCCCTCACTCACCATCACACTCCCTCTCTCACCATCACACTCCCTCTCTCACCATCACACTCCCTCACTCACCATCCCACTCCCTCTCTCACCATCACACTCCCTCACTCACCATCACACTCCCTCACTCACCATCACACTCCCCTCACTCACCATCACACTCCCTCTCTCACCATCACACTCCCCTCACTCACCATCACACTCCCTCACTCACCATCACACTCCCTCTCTCACCATCACACTCCCTCACTCACCATCACACTCCCTCACTCACCATCACACTCCCTCACTCACCGTCACACTCCCTCACTCACCATCACACTCCCTCTCTCACCATCACACTCCCCTCACTCACCATCACACTCCCTCTCTCACCATCACACTCCCTCTCTCACCATCACACTCCCTCACTCACCATCACACTCCCTCTCTCACCATCACACTCCCTCTCTCACCATCACACTCCCTCACTCACCATCACACTCCCTCACCATCACACTCCCTCACTCACCATCACACTCCCTCTCTCACCATCACACTCCCTCTCTCACCATCACACTCCCCCACTCACCATCACACTCCCTCAATCACCATCACACTCCCCTCACTCACCATCACACTTCCTCTAACCCTGCACCCTGCACCCTCACTCAGCCCTCACCTCCCCTCTCTAACAACTCCCTCCCGTCATCTTCACGCCCTCTCACCCCATCACGCTCTGATCCCTCAACCCCTCCCACACAATCTCCCCCCCCCCCCCCCACCCCGCGCTTGTGCCGCAGGACTGCTTCGTGGTGATCCTCTGCCCGTCGGAGATGGACCCGCAAGTGCGCCACGTCCTGCAGATCCCCATGTGGTACCAGCGCGTCATCTACGTGCAGGGCTCGGCACTCAAGGACCAGGACCTCGCACGCGCCAAGTACGGGAGCCCCCCCCCCCCAACTCCTCCCCCCACCCCCCCAACCCCTCCCCTCAACCCCCAAACCCCTCCCCCCACCCCCCCCAAACCTCTCCCCCCACCCCCTCCTCCACCCCCCCACCCCTCCCCCCAACCTCACCGCCGCTCCACCGCACCGCTCGCTGTCACCCCGGCCACGCTCAGCCAGATACTCGCTGTGGTGCCCGGCTGGGTGTGTGGCTGTGTGGGTGCGTGTGTGGGTAGGTGTGTGGGTGGGTGTGTGGATGTGTGGGTGGGGGTGTGGGTGGCTGGGTGGGTGGCTGGGTGGGTGGATGTGTGGGTGTGTGGGTGGGTGTGTGGGTGGCTGGGTGGGTGGGTGTGTGGGTGGGTGAGTGGGTGGGTTGGTGGTGGCTGGTGGGTGGGTTGGTGGGTGTGTGGTTGGGTGAGTGTGTTGGTGGGTGTGTGGCTGGGTGGGTGTGTGGGTGGGTGTGTGGCTGGGTGTGTGGCTGGGTGTGTGGGTGTGTGGCTGGGTGGGTCGGTGGTGTATGGCTGGGTGTGTGGCTGGGTGGTGGCTGGGTGGGTGGGTTGGTGGGTGTGTGGCTGGGTGTGTGGGTGGGTGTGTGGCTGGGTGTGTGGCTGGGTGTGTGGGTGTGTGGCTGGGTGTGTGGCTGGGTGTGTGGTTGTGTGGCTGGGTGGTGGCTGGGTGGGTGGGTTGGTGGGTGTGTGGCTGGGTGGGTGGGTGTTTGGGTAAGGTAGTGGCTGGGTGTGTGGGTGGGTGTGTGGCTGGGTGTGTGAGTGTGTGGCTGGGTGGGTTGGTGGTGGCTGGGTGGGTGGGTTGGTGGGTGTGTGGCTGGGTGGGTGGGTGTGTGGGTAGGGTGGTGGCTGGGTGTGTGTGTGTGGGTGTGGATGTGTGGGTGGCTGGGTGTATGGGTGACTGGATGGGTGGGTGGGTTTGCGGGTGGGTGGCTGGGTGTGTGTGGGTGTGTCGGTAGGGTGGTAGCTGGGTGGGGTTGGTGTATGGGTCGCCGGCTTGGTGTGTGGGTGGATTTCGGGTATATGGCTGGGTGGCTAGGTGGGTGGCTGGATGGGTGGGAATGCATTGTAGCAGAGGGTGAATTCACGTTCCTTCACTCACGCCGATATCGCATGACAGTCTGGTGGCGCTGCCCAAATCCGGGGATTTTCCCCAAGGCGTGCGTGCATTCGCGTCTGTGTGTCTCTGCACGTGTCTCCGTGTCTGTGTGTCTCTGCACGTGTCTCCGTGTCTGTGTGTCTCTGTACGTGTCTCCGTGTCTGTGTGTCTCTGCACGTGTCTCCGTGTCTGTGTGTCTCTGCACGTGTCTCCGTGTCTGTGTGTCTCTGCACGTGTCTCCGTGTCTGTGCGTCTCTGCACGTGTCTCCGTGTCTGTGCGTCTCTGCACGTATCTCCGTGTCTGTGTGTCTCTGCACGTGTCTCCGTGTCTGTGTGTCTCTGCACGTGTCTCCGTGTCTGTGTGTCTCTCTGCACGTGTCTCCGTGTCTGTGTGTCTCTTTGCACGTGTCTCCCTGTCTGTGTGTCTCTGCACGTGTCTCCGTGTCTGTGCGTCTCTGCACGTGTCTCCGTGTCTGTGTGTCTCTCTGCACGTGTCTCCGTGTCTGTGTGTCTCTTTGCACGTGTCTCCGTGTCTGTGTGTCTCTGCACGTGTCTCCGTGTCTGTGCGTCTCTGCACGTGTCTCCGTGTCTGTGCGTCTCTGCACGTGTCTCCGTGTCTGTGCGTCTCTGCACGTGTCTCCGTGTCTGTGTGTCTCTGCACGTGTCTCCGTGTCTGTGTGTCTCTCTGCACGTGTCTCCGTGTCTGTGTGTCTCTTTGCACGTGTCTCCGTGTCTGTGTGTCTCTGCGCGTGTTCGTGCGTTATCTTTTAAAATCGCCCTTCCGAGCATCACAGTCGTTGTCATTCTTAACGGAACGTGCGACCCGCCGGCTTTCTTGTCCCGGGGCGGCTGCAGGATCGACAGCGCGCAGGTGTGCTTCGTGTTGACCAGCCGCAATGAGGACCGCATCGCAGCGGTGAGCACCACCCTCCCATAGTTCCATAGTTTTCATTTATTTTGGTATAGCCCCTGTGAGCCAGTCGGCTCTTGAATCGGGTGCAACCTCAACAAACAAAAAAACAAAAACATGAACAAGAAAACATCTTAGAGTGACTTTGTGTTGACTGTGCAAACAGAAAATCCAGGAAAAAAAACTATCTAAATATTACTGAAATAGCACCGTACACCAACGCTGTGTGCAAACATCCCAGTGGGATGCAAGTCAAAATAACAACAACAACAACAACAACCACAAGACAACTTAGATTAAGGCCATCAGTCTAACTCCGTACTACAATAAACAAAAAACATGGCCAAAACAAAAAAAAACGTTTTCGAAATCACCAAAATAAAAGCCATAAATGCAATGTAACAGTGATCATAGGGACCGTGACCGAATTCTTAACAATAAACTACATAAATAAATTATAACACCAAAATCTAGAGCCATATTTTAGGCCACTGAATAGCAGTGGCAGCTAGGGGTGTACAACTCCCGGTGGGGGGGGGGAGGGCAGGGGGGGGGGGGTGGGGAGTTGCAAGGAAGGAAAGGCAAAGGGGCCGTCCATAAATGACGTCACGCACCTGGGGGGGGGGGGGCGGGGTCAGACATTCGTGACGATGTGTGACGAGGAGGGGGGGGGGGAGAGATTTAGAAATGTGACGTCACATCAAAATGCGCAATTTTAAATCAATATAGACAACTTAATCAAATGGACTTTTTTAAAATAAATGTTTTCTCCCACAACATCAGAGTGCAGCGCCACATTAAATACGCACTACAATGACAACAGTTTAAAGCCATTTGAAGTATGTCCAAATGGGGGGGGGGGGGGGGGGGGGGGGGGGGGTCAAAAATCGTCCAAAACCGCGTGACGTCATTTACGGACGGCTCCCAAAAGCCACTTGTGCAGATGAAAACAATCGAGGGGACTTAAGTCTCGACCCGAACCAAGGAGGGCAGGGCCCTCAACCGCGCCGAGTTCAAGAGGAAGAGGGTGGCTGGGGGATAATTCCAGACACGGGAGCAGAACGCAAGAGGGAGCGACCTCCTCCCGCGGGACAAATGAGGCTGACGTGACCGGAGCTCCTCCTGAGGTACCTCCTAGTGGGTCGGCAAAGCAGCTTAGAGGTCACCGGAGCCTCCCTCTAGCGGAGGCTCCGGTGACTTTGCCTGTGCGTAAAGAAACCATTCCTCCTCCTGCAGGACCAGCAAACCATCCTGCGGGCGTGGGCCGTGAAAGACTTTGCGCCGGGCTGCCCGCTGTACGTGCAGATCCTGAGGCCCGAGAACAAGTTCCACGTCAAGTTCGCCGGTGCGTGCCCGCGACAGTGGACGTTGCGCGCGTGTGTGCGTTGGGCTTCGTTCGCTCCGCACGTAGCCTGCCGTGCTAATCAGCGGTGCAGTGTTGGGTCTGTGGTGCAGTGTTGAGTCTATGGTGCAGTGTTGAGTCTATGGTGCAGTGTTGAGTCTATGGGTAGAGTTGAGTCTATGGAGCAGTGTTGAGTCTATGGGTAGTGTTGAGTTTATCGTGTAGTGTTGAGTCTATGGGTAGTGTTGAGTCTATGGGTAGTGTTGAGTTTATGGTGCAGTGTTGAGTCTATGGGTAGTGTTGAGTCTATGGGTAGTGTTGAGTCTATGGGCAGTGTTGAGTCTATGGGTAGTGTTTAGTCTATGGGTAGTGTTGAGTCTATGGGTAGTGTTTAGTCTATGGGTAGTGTTGAGTCTAGTCTATGGTGCAGTGTTGAGTCTATGGGCAGTGTTGAGTCTATGGGTAGTGTTGAGTCTATGGGGCAGTGTTGAATCTATGGGTAGTGTTGAATCTATGGGTAGTGTTGAGTCTATGGGCAGTGTTGAGTCTATGGGTAGTGTTGAGTCTATGGGCAGTGTTGAATCTATGGGTAGTGTTGAGTCTATGGGTAGTGTTGAGTCTATGGTGCAGTGTTGAATCTATGGCTAGTGTTGAATCTATGGGTAGTGTTGAGTCTATGGGTAGTGTTGAGTCTATGGGCAGTGTTGAGTCTATGGGTAGAGTTGAGTCTATGGGTAGTGTTTAGTATATGGGTAGTGTTGAGTCTATAGGCAGTGTTGAGTCTATGGGTAGTGTTGAGTCTATGGGCAGTGTTGAGTCTATGGGCAGTGTTGAGTCTATGGGTAGAGTTGAGTCTATGGGTAGTGTTTAGTCTATGGGTAGTGTTGAGTCTGTAGGCAGTGTTGAGTCTATGGGTAGTGTTGAGTATATGGTGCAGTGTTGAGTCTATGGGTAGTGTTGAATCTATGGGGCAGTGTTGAATCTATGGCTAGTGTTGAATCTATGGGTAGTGTTGAGTCTATGGGTAGTGTTGAGTCTATGGGCAGTGTTGAGTCTATGGGTAGAGTTGAGTCTATGGGTAGTGTTTAGTCTATGGGTAGTGTTGAGTCTATAGGCAGTGTTGAGTCTATGGGTAGTGTTGAGTCTATGGGCAGTGTTGAGTCTATGGGCAGTGTTGAGTCTATGGGTAGAGTTGAGTCTATAGGTAGTGTTTAGTCTATGGGTAGTGTTGAGTCTATAGGCAGTGTTGAGTCTATGGGTAGTGTTGAGTCTATGGGCAGTGTTGAGTCTATGGTAGCCAGATGGCTTGCAAAGAACCTCTGTCTTGGAGAAGTCAATGTCATGTGAGCCTTTCAAAACCATCACTTTATCCTACATTGCGGGGATCACAAAAAAAGATCTCCAAAATCTTGAATAAACACAAGATCCAGGTCCGTTTCAACACATTACATAAAATCCGTGATCTGGTTCCATCTGTAAAAGATGTGATTCCGGACATACATTACCGTGGTGTCTACAAACTAAGTTGCCTCTGTGGTAGTAGTTACATTGGAGAAACCAAACGACATGTCTCGGACCGCATTCGTGAACACAAAGCAGACCTTAAACACGATAGGACCAACACCTCGGCCGTGGCAGATCACTGGTATAATTCAGTAGGCTCACATGACATTGACTTCTCCAAGACAGAGGTTCTTTGCAAGCCATCTGGCTACCATGAAAGATTCGTTCATGAGGCTATCCACATATACAAACACATAGACAATTTCACCTGAGAAGATGGATTCTGGCTTAGCAATCATTGGAAGGATTTGATAAACCATTTCGGGTCTTAATTGATTGTTCACGCTTACGGTGGCTTTCAGACAGCATACATTAATTTTTCGTTTCCCCCCTCCTCTTTTCCGAACATAGATGGACTCGTCCATCTGAATAAACTGCCAAATCGCTCTCCGTGGTGCTCACCTTTTTCAAATTTTCTTGCTGTGGTTTTCATACCTGATGATAATTGCTTGTGTTGCAGTCGAAACGTCGTGAGAATTTTATTGTTTTATATATATTTTATTATTTAATTGTTTCCCTTCAACGTGACTTTACCGAAAGAACCAAGAATATCTATGGGTAGTGTTGAGTCTACTGCTGAGTCTGTGGGACGTATGTACATGTGTGTTGAATTTATTTGGCACTGTACGTAGCTAGCCGTGGACACACCCTCTCTCCGCTCTGAGGTTCCAGCCCCCCCCCCTCCCACACAGGAATCAGAATCAGAAATAATTGCTCATCCGAGAGAAATCCGATGAGCTATAAAGCTCTTTTTTTTTTACAATCATCCAGTCGGGTAGCGGGGGTGGCGGTGGTGGGGGGGGGGGGGGCGGTTGGGACGATTGACTCACCCCCTTCCCTCCCTCTCCTCTCCTCTCCTCCCTCCCATCTTCCCGGTCCGTGTGGTGGGCTGAAACGAACTCTCCGCCTGTGCGTGCCCGCAGACCACGTGGTGTGCGAGGAGGAGTTCAAGTACGCGCTGCTAGCGCTCAACTGCGTGTGCCCCGCCACGTCCACGCTCATGACGCTGCTGCTGCACACGTCACGTGGCCAGTGAGTGATCGCGAGCGCGCCCCGTGCGCAAGCCGCGTGTTCGCCCCACAAAAACACACCCCCCCCAGTGCCCGGGGAGGGGGCGATCGCCCTGCGCATCGCTCGCTGGGGGATTCACACGGCGGCGACGGCGACGGTGGTGGTAGCAGCAGCATCACCCCCCTCCCCCCCCCCCGCTCCCCGCTGCCCCCGCCACCATTCTGCGAAAAATAAACTCGGCAGGACCCCTCCTGCAAAGGAGTCTTGAGACTCGGCGAGGCTCGTCCGGGTGAGCAAGCGGTAATAGTAATGGCAGTCACGTTCTCCTATAAGGCGGACGGTAGTAGTTGGCGTTCCCGAATAACGCCGCCTTCTTTGAAAAATCTCGTTATACTAAATCATGCGCAATGGAGGGGTCTAACACCGTTTGAGACGAGGCTCAAAAGCAAGCTGCCTCTGGTGTGGACCAATCAGATTCAAGGACAATGCATAGATTATCAGAGTGTGTTTTTTTGTTTGAACTCTGACCACAAGCATTGGGTAATTAACGCAGACACGATTCCTTGTTAAAGGATCCAGTTTGGTGTTTGAACATCTTAACACCTATTCTTAGTTCTTTCGGTAAAGTCACGTTGAAGGGAAACAATAAAATAATAAAATATAAATAAAACAATAAAAATTATCACGACGTTTCAACGTGACTTTACCGAAAGAACTAAGAATATGAATTACTGGAGTCACGAAAGCTTTAAATCAAAACATCTTAACACCTGTTTTGTTGCAAGAAAAAAGGGGGGAAAAAATCTATCATCATATTTTGGTACTGGCAAAGGAGGTCCCACGATGGGTGAAGCACAGTTCCGCGGTCACGCGCTAGATGCTCAACGCAGGCAGAACAAAGACCGAGGCACCCGGGTAGCATCTAGGAGCATCCAGCAGCATCCCGGCGGCTCGTGTGGCACTGCTATGCCGGGGCAGCCGTACGACCGCTCCTTCCCACTCGCGCTGCGACGCAGTTCCTTTGGCTCGATCGCGTTACAGGGGACCACCCTGCACCCGCAAACTAACTGGCTTCCTGGACGAAGTTCGCAAGCGGAGCCGTCGTAAGTCGAACCCTTATCTCCCATAGGGCACGGTGTTATAAGTTGGGGGGTCCGTTCCTGGAAACCCGTTACGTGCCATTAAAAATGCCAAAATTGACCACGAAAATGAATGGGAATAACCCGAACAAAACAGTTTATCGCAACTTAACGTCACTTTTACAAGCTTTTATTCAGCAAAAAAAAACAAACCACAAACACTCACATTTGAAAGTCCGCAAGTAATTTTCTGCACGTGCGTCACATTTCCTCTTCTCGGACATCGTAGCGAAAGGCGACAATGTTTCAGAATTTGAAGAAAACTAAGATAGAAGTGAAGGGCGCCGAGAAAGAGATGCTGCTGCGTAAGTCGGGGGTCACCGGTATATCCGATTTGCATCCGCGTTACGAAAAAATGCGTTCCCTGATACATTCGGAGCGTTGTACCCAATTTCTGCGTCATGAAAACAACACGAGGCATTGTCGGAGAACAGACCGCAGTGTATCGTGGGAGATTTTTGCCATTATATCAAAGTATGAAAATAATCGGTTTTTTTACCCTTTCGAGCAACACAATGGGCGTTGTTGTTTGAGATGTTCAAACACCAAATAGACAACTTTTGCAAGGCATCAAGTCTGCATTAATCACACACGGCACTTATTGTGAACATGTACAGGAAATGAACATGCTCTAATCATATAAGCATGTAATGGGTCCTCCGTTGCCAGTATCGCGAAATATAAGGTGAGGTTTTACCCTTTTCTGGCAATCAAACAGGCTCTGGTAGTACATGCATTGTCTACCAGAGTATGTTTTTGGTTTGCATGTTTACCACAACTGCTGTGTGGCTAATGCAGACATGAGTCCTTCCAAAAGGTGCTGTTTTTTTTTATTTCCCCAAAAAAGGGTAAAACAGCTGTTCTTATTTTTCAGCCCGGAGTATGATTCACGATGAATTTGTATATATATATTTTTTTACACCGGGGACCAATCGACGCGGAGGAGTAAAATGCGTGCCGTGAACCCTCCTCCTCCTCCTCGGCCCGACGCGGCCCGATTGATGAATTTTGTCGCGCGATGGACAAACGTGTCGGAGCCATTAACCCCCTCCAGCACCGGCGGGCTCGTTGGAGAGTGGAGCCCGCAGCATGCAACGATGGGAGCGGCATTATCGCTTACGCGACCTGGGCAACAGTGAATCGCTGAAGCCCCGCCGCACTGCGTTAAACAACAATAATAATAATGATATTTTTTGATTTAAAGCTTTCGTGACTGCAGTAATTCATATTCTTAGTTTTTTCGGTAAAGTCACGTTGAAGGGAAACAACAAAATAATAAAATATATATAAAAAACAAAACAAAAATTCTCACGACGTTTCGACCATAACTCAAACGGTCGTCTTCAGGTGTGTTGGTTCGCATAAATTTATTTTTAAACGGCGCATTTATTTATTTAAAAAAAAACGTTAGCGCCACGCGCAACGATTTGGCAGTTTATTTAGGACTAGTCATCTATATTCTGAAAAGAGGAGGGGGGAGACGAAATTTTGTAATAATGATATTCTTGGTTCTTTCGGTAAAGTCACGTTGAAGGGAGACAATAAAATAATAATTTTATTGTTTTATATATATTTTATATAAAATATATATTTTATATATTTTTTAAAATTATTTTATTGTTTCCCTTCAAAGTCGTGACTTTACTGAAAGAACCAAGAATATGACTCACTGCAGTCACGAAAGCTTTAAATCAAAACCATAATAATAGTAATAATAATGACAATAAGAATAATAGTTTAACAGGTGGGGGACTTTCGCGACAATACCTTTAACCACAATAAAGGTGTTTTTTTTGGGGGGCGGGGGGTGAAACCGCGTAATTATGAATGGCACCCGATGAAGCTGGTCGTTGTAATCGCCAGCGAAACGTTGTGAATGTTGTTGTGGGTTCACTCTCCAACACAGCGGGGTGGGCTGTACCTGTAACGAATTGGCACTTTTTTGTTCACGTGACAAACCCCTTACTTATTTGGCTGCGTCGGGTGGCGGCGGGTTTAACGACACAAGACATGTACACTCAGGCGCTCTAAACCCAAGAAACTTTAACTGTGGATATATAACAACAACAACAACAACAACCACGACAGCAACGTTGTCGTCCGGTTAACCTGTACCCCGCTGACCTAACCCCCGTCCCACCTCGCCTCGCCCCCACCCCCGCCCTTACCCCCCAGAGAAGGGCGACAGTCCCACGACCCCTGGCAGCGGATGTACGGGCGGTGCTCGGGGAACGAGATCTACCACATCCAGCTGTCGGAGAGCAAGTTCCTGCGCGAGTACGAGGGCAAGAGCTTCACGTACGCCGCCTTCCACGCGCACAAGAAGTACGCGGGCGTTTAATTTTTTTCTCTCTCACTCTCTCTCACGGTGGCTAGGAGATGTTAACTACCTCGCCTGGTGTACAGGAGGTCGTGGGTTCGATACCGACCCTGATGCCTGCTGCTGCTGTATATTTGGAGTATGCGTCTCGATCTCTCTCATCATCATCACGGTGGCTAGGAAATGTTAACTACCTCGCCCGGTATACAGGAGGTCGTGGGTTCCATCCCGACCATGACGATGCCTGCTGTTGTGTATTTGGAGTTTGCCGTGCGGTGTCTCTCTCATCATCATCACGGTGGCTAGGAGATGTTAGATACCTTGCCCGGTATACAGGAGGTCGTGGGTTCCATCCCGAGCCTGGCGATGCCTGCTGTTGTGTATTTGGAGTTTGCCGTGCGGTGTCTCTCCCTCTCTCCGCCGTGGTCGTGTGGATTTCTTTTTCGGGTCCTCCGGTTTTTCCCCCTCCGCATTTATATTGAACGTGCACGTAAGAAATTCCGGATTAGTTTCCCACCTGGGCGACACTAAAAGGGCCCAGATGCTCTTCCCCCCCATCCCCCCCCCCGCCCCCCGTGATAAACTCTTGGCGAGCGTGGCGTCTGCGGTGGCGAGATGTTAACTCCCTCGCCTGGTACGCAGGAGGTCGTGGATTCGATCCTGACCCTGTCGCGCCTGCTGCTGCATATTTGGAGTTTTCAGTGTCTAAGCTCCACCGTTGTCGCGTGGATTTTTTTGCTCTAATCTCATCTTCATGAGATGTACATGGCGCCTTTTCCGAGGCGCTTTACAGTGATTATAGAGTTGGACATTGCATGATGATAATTTTAAATGAAAAATTGGGTTATTGTTCGTGTTGGCGTAGTTTTGATGCAGTAACACAAAAGGGATTGATAAGGAGGGGTTGGGATAGGCCTGGGGGGTGTAGTTGTGGGGGGGAGGGGGGGGGGGCGACAGAAAGCTGCGTCCTCCAGATTTTTGCCCTCCCACGTGCTGTAAATGTCCACGTGGTGACGATGACGTCAAGCCACTCCCGTGGAGCTGTCATTTGTGATCGCCAGGTCGCTTCTGACAAAGAGCCACGCAGCTCAGTGGGGCCTTAGCTGGCTAAAGAGAAATGGTGTCGCAGTTTTCATTGTTTTCCCAACTGCGATGACATCGGACTGCGACGGAATCGCCGATCGTCTAGACCACCGGCGGTCTTCACTAAATTTTCAGAGGCGGGGGATCGCTGTCGCCGATAAGACATCTTCAGTCGTGATATGTGAAGAGGGCTGCCCACACCATTCGAAACCACTGGGGGTTTGGCAGCAGCACGGTGACGGTGGTGATGATGATGATGATGGAGCTATTCTCACTGTCGTGGCATTGTCACGGGGGGGACCGCACGCCAGTGGCCGCACCAAAGGCCACCAGGGACCGCCAGTGGCCCGCCGCGGGCCTTGCAATGAAGAACGCTGCTCTCGATCGTTTGCCGATAGCGAGAGGCAGGCGGACGCTCGCATATCACGTGGTGCAACGGTGACCCAGTGGGGACTCACCCGAACGGCGGTGCGCTTACCCACCTCAATCGACGCAGCCACTCGCCGGAATCCTAATCCCGATTCCGCGCTCGAAACCCTCGACTCTGCGGGTTGAGCCCATACAAGTTGGTGGTGTCCGCTAGAAATCACATCGACTGCCCTCAAGAGAATCGATGTCGTAGACATCTCGATTGGTGCTCCACAAGATCGGCCTCATACGGCCAACGCGGTGGGGGGGGCGGGGGGGGGTGGCGTTTGTTGTTTGTCGGAGTCGGGAGTCAAACCGTGGTCACTGGGGGGGGTTACCCGTGGGAGGTGCGTGGCCTCCACCTCCCCGCGGATTTTGAATCAAGGCAAATATTCGCTGGCATGGTTTATTCCCTCTGTGCGCCGTGTGGCCCGGCTGTCGAGAGCCGATTAACAGAAATCCCGGATTAGTTTCCCACCCGGGTGACACTGAAAGAGCCCAGCTCCTCTCCCCCCCCCCCCTGCCCCCCCGTAATAAACTCTTGGCGAACGTGGAGTTTACCAGGTCTCACGGTGGCTAGGAGATGCTAACTCCATCGCCTGGTATACAGGAGGTCGTGGGTTCGATCCCAACCCTAACGCCTGCTACACATTTGGAGTTTGCGTGTCTCTGTCTCTCCCCGTGGTCGTTGAGGATTTTCCTCCTGGTCCTCCGGTTTGTCCTCTCTACATTTGGAATCAACGTCACTACGCGCTTAGAGTTATTTGGCGACTGCTATAAATTTCCACGTGATGATGATGATGATAAGCCGCCAACTTTGTTGAGCTCTCGTTTATGGCCAGGTCTCTTCTGAAAAAGACCTACTGTACCGAGCTCAGTGGGCGCCTTACTTGGTCAAAGAAAAATAGTTTTAGTAGTTTAGAGTGCGCTGATTGCGACGATTGTTCACGCTCATTAACTTTCGTCGAAGGCGTTTCCACCGTTCGCTCCGTCCGTCCGTCTGTCTGTGTGTGCGTCTGGAACGGGTTGGTGGGTGTGTTGGGGTGGGCGGGGTGGTCACGATAGCTCCATTTAAGTCCATCCGATCTGAGATGAAACTCCGGTGGCAGGTTTGCCTCGCTCGCGTGGACCTAGCCTGAGAGGAACCTGGACACGTTCACCGTGTGGGGGGTCACTCTCGTAGAGGTGGTCGGATCTGCACGCTGCTCTCATGCAAAGTTGAACGATTCTGGCTCATCGCCTGATGAAGCTGGTTGAAATCGCCAGCGATGCTTCACGCTTCGAATTGCAGACGTTGCCGGGGGTTTGCATATTTCGCGGGGTTTTTACTCTCCCAGCGCACCGCTTAGTAGCAACTAAACCGCGCGTTTTGTCTTCGTGACAAACCTTACTGCGGTTGGCTGTGTCGGGTGGTGGCGCGGGGGGCAGGGTTAACGATGCATTCATGTTCACGTGATCCTACCCAGCAAACAAAAAGACCCTTCATCATGAATTTTGATTTAAAGCTTTCGTGACTGCAGTAATTCATACTCTTGGTTCTTTCGGTAAAGTCACGTTGAAGGGAAACAATAAAATATATATAAAACACATATAAAACAAACAAATGATAATAACAATAAAATATATTAAATTTTGATTTAAAGCTTCCGTGACTGCAGTAATTCATACTCTTGGTTCTTTCGGTAAAGTCACGTTGAAGGGAAACAATAAAATAATAAAATACATATAAAACAAACAAATGATAATAACAATAAAATATATTATATTTTGATTTAAAGCTTTCGTGACTGCAGTAATTCATACTCTTGGTTCTCTCGGTAAAGTCACGTTGAAGGGAAACAATAAAATGCATATAAAACAAATAAATGATAATAACAATAAAATATATTAAATTTTGATTTAAAGCTTTCGTGACTGCAGTAATTCATATTCTTAGTTTTTTCCGGTAAAGTCACGTTGAAGAGAAACAACAACGTGACTTTACCGAAAAAACTAAGAAAATAAAATATATTGTTTTATATATATATTTTATCATTTTATTGTTTCCCTTCGACGTGACTTTACCGAAAGAACCAAGAATGTGACCTTCATCGTGTCGTGGTGGCGATGGTGGCTGTGGTGGCTGTGGTGGCGGTGGTGGCTGTGGTGGCGATGGTGGCTGTGGTGGCGGTGGTGGCTGTGGTGGCTGCTGTGGCTGTGGTGGCGGTGGTGGCTGTGGTGGCTGCTGTGGCTGTGGTGGCTGTGGTGGCGGTGGTGGCTGTGGTGGCTGCTGTGGCTGTGGTGGCTGTGGTGGCGGTGGTGGCTGTGGTGGCTGCTGTGGCTGTGGTGGCTGTGGTGGCGGTAGGTACGGCGTGTGCCTCATCGGCGTGCGACGCGACGGGGGCTCCACGCGTCTCAACCCGGGCCAGCGCCACCTGCTCTCCGCGGCCGACATCTGCTTCTACATCAGCATCACCAAGGAGGAGAACTCGGCACTCTTCGTCCGGCACGCCGGCGCCAGCGGCGGCGGCGGCGCCGCCAACAAGGCGGCGGTGGGCTCTGGCCCCGCGGGCAACGCGCCCAACGGCCACCTAACCGGGCACCCGCCGGGCCACCCCGCCGGGCCTCCCCGCGAAAGCGACGGCAGGGAGTTTGCCGCCACGATCGGTGAGGCGACGCTGTTGGGATCGTCGGTAGGGGACGGTGGTTGTTGGACGGCGGGGTGGTGGGCGAGGGGGAGGGGGCGGTTGTCTAAACGCGAACTAGTCGAGAGTTGATAATCGTGTTTTGTTAATTGTTGTTGATGTCGGTTTTTTTGCGATCACGATCAGGAAAGCCTCACCGAGTGTCAAGACTCTTTGGTCAGGAGGGCCCTGCCCACGTTGTTTCGCAGTAGGGAGGGGGGAGGCGGCGATGTTGCCACTGCTGCTGCTGGGTGTAATGGTGGCTATGAGATGTTAACTTCCTCGCCTGGTGTGCAGGGGGACGAGGGTGCAATCCCTCTATCTCATCATCATCATCACGGTGGCTAGGAGATGTTAACTACCTCGCCTGGTATACAGGAGGTCGTGGGTTCGATCCCGACCCTCACGCCTGCTGCTGCTGCTGCTGTATATTTGGAGTTTGCGCGTCTCTCTCCCCTTGGTCACGTGGATTTTTTCCTGGGTCCTCCGGTTTGTTCCTCCACATTTGTAAACATGCCTTTAGAGTATTTGGCTGCAATGCATTTCCAAAAGATGAGCCACTTCGGTGAGCTATCATTTGTGGCCACGATCAGTGGGCATTGCCTGGTTAAACCAATTTTTTTAAACATAAAAATTGTTAGTTTTATGAACACGTCCGGGCACAAAAGTGTTTCATAATGCGCATTCGTGTGCGCGCGTGCGATTCTTACCACGTTGTTTATGATTTTGGTGGTGGTGGTGGCGGTGGTGGTGGCGGTGGTATCATCTGCCGGCCTCGCTCCAACCATGCGCCTCGCCCAGGCTCCGTGTCGCTGGACCTTCGGACCCTCTTGGAGCGCCGCGGCCCGTCCCCGCCGGCCGGCCACGCCGTGGGTCCGTGTGGCCCCGGGGGGCCGAGTGGCCCCGGGGGGGCTGCCGGTCCCGGCGGCGGCGGCGGCGGCGGCATCTGGATGTCCATGTCGGAGGGCCGCCGCTGCTCCATCGCCCCCGTGCTCGAGCTGCCCGACCCCAACGGAGCCGAGCTGCCCTCTGACCTCCTGGAGGATGACGAGGAGGACGACGACGCGATGACCTGCGATGACGAGGACTCTCCGGGCACCACGTGAGATGAACACGCGGCGGCGGCGGCGGCGGCGGCGGCGGCGTAGTTGTTGTCATCATCGTCGTCGTTGTCATCATAATTGTTGTCGTCAACGTCATCATCAATGTCATCATCATCGTAATGGTCGTCATCATCAATGTCATCATCGTAATCGGCGTCATCATCATCATCATCGATGTCATCATCATAGCAATCGTCGTCGTTGTCATCATTGTCATCGTTGTCATCAACATAATCAATGTCATCATCATGAAGGCATGGAGGCGGCCACCATGGCCCCCTCCGTGTCTCCGTCCGCACTTCACCGCGTCGGCCGGTGTGGGAGGCTGAACGGGCGGTACGGGCGGCCCGCGTTTTCCGAAGCAAGCCGCGTTGATTGTTTTCTCGAGCCTAAGTCGGGGTGCTCAAGAGGCCGGGTAATGGGTCTCGTGTCCGTGAGTGTGACCCGGCTCACGGAAATGAGAGGAGCAAAAAAAACCGGGGAAGATGCGGTGCGGCGATGGACGAAGCTTCAGTCGGCGTTAAACAAAAAAAAAATAACCAACGGCCGCGTCTCTCTGTCTCTCTCGAAAAACGAAATTATGGCACCAACACGAATCAACGAGAAATCATGAATCCCTCTGTTGCAGAGGCGGGCTCGGGCAGCTTGTGTTTCAGACCGATTATCGCGCGATCGCAACCAAGCTACGGGACCACTGAACGGACATCGGGCGATTGCAGTGCCAATACGCAAGCGGGCGAGGATACGCGATGAAAAATGCAATTCGATTGTGCATCTTCGCCGCTGCCGCTCGCCGTTGCCCGGGAATGCCGACTCCAATCGCTCCCCGGAGCACGTTCGCGGCCCGTTGCCGAGTTCCAAGTTGGCCACTGCGGGCTCTGAATCTCTGCGTGGTCTTGGGCCAAATGCGCCCGGCGTGCCCCCGACTGATCTGCCACGCGATTACTACCCTGACGTAAAACTTTCGTGACTGCAGCAATTCATGTTGCTGGTTCTTTCGGGTAAAGTCACGGACATCGGCGTGACTTTACCGAAAGAATCAACACTATGGGTTCCTACTCTCTCGCACGCTCTTCAGAGCAGGAGCTTGCGACTACTCTCACAGCCTCGCCCCTTGCCCTCGACGCCGAGTGGGGTGTCGCGCCTTCTCAAGCGTTGCCCCGAGGATCCGCAACGCCTTGGGGGGCGGTGACCCGGCACGCTTCGAGCGCCGCTGTGTCTAGCAGCGCGAGTGCACGAGCCACCGTGTTCTCATGGCTTTTACTTTAGCATTCTTTTCTAGTCTTTGCATTTCATTTCATTGTACGATGTTTTGACACCACCACCACCTCCCCCCCCCCCCCGCCCCCCTTCAGTAGAGGTGATATTCCATACAAAAAAATAAATACGGTATAGGTTCGCGGTTTCGATTGCAAGCGGCCGCCCTGGTTAGTACTGCGGTGTGTGCGCATCAACCGTGAAAACGCCGCTGCCACCACCACCACGAATACGAGGCGACGCTGTTCAGGGTTCACGTTTGTGAATCCCAACTGGCTCAATTGGGATTTCACGCTCGGCGGCAGCCGTCGCAATCATCGCCCCCTGCTGGCGGACGAACGTCCCAGGGGCCACTCTGGTCAACGTCTCACGACGTCTCACCCTGCATGTCCCTGTGCATGTGCACGTGTGTTGAATTTCTTTCGCACCGTACGTAGCCAGCCGCCGTGCTAATTGGAGCATGCGGCGTTGAGTCTATGGGTAGTGTTAGTCTCTGCGCGTGCACGTGTGTTGAATTTCTTTCGCACCGCACGTAGCCAGCCGTGCTAAATCGGAGTGTGCAGTCTTTAGTCTATGGGTAGTTGTTCGTCTCTGGGCAGTATCTATATATACGTTGAATTTCTTTCGCACCATACGTAGCCAACAAACGAAGCACAAAAAGCAGTTCTAAAGAAACGCGTTTTCAATCTAAGATTAAATTATTTGTACGAAGTTCGTCAACTCGAACGTCAACCCCACCGACACGCAACCCAGCCCTGAGGCCGCTCGCTCACGGTGCGATCCGATCCCCCCCGCCACCCACCCAACCCCTGTAGGTGGATCAAGGGTTACCCGATTAGCTTCCCCTACATCGGCAGCTCACCCACCCTGTGCCACCTCCTGCTGTGCAAGGTGCCGCCCTGCTGCCTGCGTCTCGACCAGGTGCGACTGCCTCCTCCCCTTCCTCCCCCCATGACCCCCCCCCTCACTCGCTCTTTCCCTCCCCCGCTCCCTCTCTCCCCTCCCTTCCCCCAATGCTTCCCTCCCTCTCTCCCCTCCCTCCCCCCATACCTCCCCCCATTCCTCCCTCTTCCCTCCCTTTCCCACTCCCTCCTCCTCCCTCCCCCCATACCTCCCTCTTCCCTCCCTCCCTTTCCCACTCCCTCCTCCTCCCTCCCCCCATACCTCCCTCTTCCCTCCCTCCCTTTCCCCCCCCTCCTCCTCCCCCCATACCTCCCCCCATTCCTCCCTCTTCCCTCCCTTTCCCACTCCCTCCTCCTCCCTCCCCCCATACCTCCCTCTTCCCTCCCTCCCTTTCCCCCCCCCCTCCTCCTCCCCCCATTCCTCCCTCCTTCCTCCCCTCCCTCCCTTCCTCTCCCTCTCTCATCCTCCCTCCCCCCATACCTCCCTCCCTCTCCCCGCCCCTCCCTCCCTGAGCGTGCGACACGAGGGTTGGTGAGTACTTTTACAAACGCGCATCTTTCATAACCGAGGTTAGCACGCGTGGACAGTATTCGGGCCATGTGAGCTCTTCGTAAACACTTCTCTCTTTGCGTTCTCTACTGAACTCGTTAAATGTCTGTGAAGAGTCTCGAACATCGCGCAGCGGCAGTGAGTGGGTGGGCGAGTAGGTGACTGGGTGAGTGGGTGGGTGAGTAGGTGAGTGGGTGGGTGAATGAGCGAGTGGGTGAGTGACTGAGTGGGGGAGTAGCTGTGTGGGTGGGTGAGCAGGTGAGCGGGTGGGTGAGTAAAGTGGCCCCTCGGGATAGAGTCATCATTAGGGGAAGGAAAGGTGATCCAATCTGCGACATCCAGGAGCAGGTTTGCAGATTTGCTGAACATTTCTGAGGAATTTGGGCAGGGGAAATCACTCAGCCTGGAAAACATCGTGGGGCAAAAGTAGGGATGACCCTGCTGAGGCTGCCGTGCCTCAAATATTGGAAGAAGTAGTCACCCCCTGTGATTTTCCTGGCTAAGGTGCCATCTGTTGAGGAAGTACTTAAGGCAATCCAGAGTCTGAGACCAGGAAAGGCACCGGGCAGAGATGATCTCCCAAGCGAAATGGTGAGGGAGGGTGGCGTTTGTGCATAGACTGCCCTCCATGACACCATAACAACAGTCTGGACCACTGGATGGGTCCACAGGATTGGAAGGATGCCCTGGTGGTCTCCCTCTTTAAGAAGGGGGACTGCACAGACTGTAACAACTACAGGGGCATTTTACTCCTCAGTGTGCCGGGAAAGGTCCTGGCTAAGATTAACATCGCCTTGCCAGGCATGCTGAAGAAAGGCTTGCAGAATCCCAATATGGTTTCAGACAAGTGCGATCCTGCACAGATGCCATATTTTCTGTCCGTCTGCTACAGCAGAGCTGTAGGTAATTCCAACAAGACCTACATCTCTGCTTTATTGACCTGGTCAAGGCCTATGCTAAGATCCATAGGCCTGGGCTCTGGGCTGTTCTTTGTGCTTTTGGAGTCTCTGACTCTCTGCTCAGGATCATTAAGGACCTTCATGATGGTGAGCGGGCCCGGATAAAACTACGTGGCTGGGAGTCGGAGCCATTTCCTGTTCACCTTGGGGTGCGACAGGGACGTACTCTGGCTCCCACATTATTTAACATCTATTTCGACCATGTAGTTTGTGAAGCCTTCGGTGGCTGTACTGTAGGAATTTCCATATAGTACAGATACAATGGGAGGCTGATCGATGCCCAGGTGCAGTCAAGGGATGGCTCCCTATTGGTCAACCGTGTTATGTATGCTGATGATCTGGTAATTTCTACTCACTCAGAGGAGGAGTTGGAGGCGCTGCTGTTGAACCTGGAGCGTGCCACTAAGAGGTGGGGCCTTCCCATCAGCCCTACAAAAACTAAGCACCTGCCTGGATATTTTGTACCATGAGACACTCCACCCGCACAACTCCCAATTGTTGATGGGGCAGTTGTGGAGAGAGTGGAGAGTGTCCCATACCTCGGCAGTATGCTCATGACCAGCTCCGAATCATTCGAGCGGCATTATATTTTCTTAGGTTGCGTAACGCTGTGTGGAAGCTACCTGGTCTGTCGCTCCACACGAGGCTTTAGTTCTTCTCGGCCAGTCAACGTGGACCCCCCTAATGGAAGATATTCGTCGGTTAGAAACATTTAGGCTGGCCTGCCTACGATCCGTCCTGGGTTTAACCGATCTGGACAAAGTTCCATCGGTGAGCCCCTCCGGCAGCTAAGGCTGCATTGGCTGGGTCATGTAGCCCGCATGCCCAGCCACCTCATGCCTAAACAGCTTTTGTTCAGCCGGATCAAGGGGGCTAAACGGGCGCAGCATGGGCTAGAGAAGAGATGGAGTGATGTGGTACAGGAGGATGTGGAGCTGAGTGGACTTGCCGATGACTGGTACCAGCGCTGTCAAGATCGGCCTCTGTGGAAGAGGCTCGTGAAGGACACTACTGGGCAGTTGGAAACAGTCGCCCTCCAACAACAACGGAGGGCAGAGAAGCGACGATCACAACAACGAGCGGAGCGCTGGGTGGCTAAAGCACAGCAGGTTGGCACAGTAGGGGGCACAGGTGGTGCATCGGCCAGTCATCTTGGTCAGTCGACTCATGGCACCTGGGTCTGTCCCGTGACCTCCTGTCAGCGGGCGTTCGACACTTCACGTGGCCTTAACGTGCACCTAGCCTGGCACAAGCGCCGTGGTGACGTCACCACCACATCGTGGCGAATGGCGGTTGTTGTTGTTGAGTAGGTGAGTGGGTGAGTAGGTGAGTGGGTCGGTGAGTGGGTGAGTGAGTGCGTGAGTGGGTGAGCGAGTGGGTGAGTAGATGAGTGGGTGGGTGAGTAGGTGAGTGGGTGGGTGAGTGAGTGAGTGGGTGAGTAGGTGAGTGGGTGGATGAGTGGGTGAGTAGGTGAGTAGGTGGGTGAGTAAGTGAATTGGTGGGTGAGTGGTTGAGTAGGTGAGTGGGGGGATGGTCGCCACGAGCTGCCGAGCAAAGACGCCAATGATTGTCAACGGAGTGGACCCGGTACTCGCACCACCACGTGTCCACCAGATAGTGTAGAGCAGGCTTGTGTACACACATACACACATACACACACGTGTGTATGTGTGTGTGTGTTCAGGGACAGAGCCAGGATTTCAGGCCGGGGTGACATTCAACAAATGTTAATTTCAAGAATGATTAGAGAGTCAGGCTGTTGAACTAGACGCCATCGGTTGGCGACACACTCTGACAATGCAGTTGCATGGAGTCCGCCAGACCGAGTGTCGTACACTTATACGCAGAATGTTACCCCTGTCACCCCCCCTCCTTGGCTCTGCCCCTGTGTGTGTGTGTCTATTAATTCGGGGAGTTGCAGTGTAGCGGTTAGCGCACTGTGCTACGAACCTGGCGACCTGGGTTCAATTCCCACTCACGGCCAACACCGCTTATCGGAACCGGTCCTGGGCCTCACCCAGGTCGACCTGCTACAATGTGTAAACATCACCACTGGGAAGACAAAGGCGGCCGGGCGTGGTGCTGGCCACCCACCTCCACGTGTGCCGTGCCGACCTTCATTGCTGCTCGCTGACAGCCCTTGCCCCTACAGTCTTTTCACGGCTATGCGCACAGCCTGCATCCCCAATCATTTGTTCAATTGGCCGCCAGTGTGGGTGACGAGGAATGGCCGGTGTGCGATTCGGCCGCGTTTCCCCTTTTTTCGTCGCACGATCAGACCGTGGCTCAGGCCGAGCCGAGATGATGAAGTCGCCACTCATTGCACCCTCAAAAAATGAACCGCAACTGCCTCGCTGATCTCGCCAAGGAGCTATGAACCCGCCGCCACCAGAAACTCCGGCGATGCTCGCAGCTTTTGGCTCGGCCACCGAACGAAGGCGGCGGCGATTCACCGCTGCATCGCGCGGCGGATTCGGGACGTGCTTCTGCGGCCGTCTGGAACGCCTCTTAGGAGGCCACTCGGAGCTGCGGCACTTTTAAATTGTCAATTTGGATTGACGAAACTAATTTCCTTAAGGCCGCTTCTTGTTTGCGTGTTAAGTTTGTTCGTCCTTGCCCCGCAACTCGCGATTAGCGCGGCCGGCCGGCTCCGTACGGCACGAAAGAAGTTCAACGTACGTACGTAGAAAGCGTGCAGTTGTGCCAGAAAAAAAACAAAAACTCGTGGCAGGCTCGTGTCGAGTGAACTTCAGCCAAAGAACATTGAAGCGAACCATCTCTACTCGTATTCAAAGCAAGACAGTGGTTAGTGCAACCGCGCCACGAACCCCGGGACACCCGAGTTCGATTCCCTGGCCAGGGCTAATATCGGCGGTGATAATCTCAGCCGGTCCCGGGCCTCCTCTCAGTGAACTCATCCCGAACCGAGTTACATTCTGCGAAAGAAGTTCAGTGCACGTGCGCCGCGGGGCGGGGGGGTGGTGGTGTGGCGATGACGTTCATCCACCGCATTTCTCGCCACGCTGACCTTTTCTGCGTTGCTTTCTGTTTTGCTCTCCGTGCAACGCGCGTCAGGCGTGCGAACACAATGGCCACGAGGACGCCCAGGCCTACAACTTCAAGAACAAACTGATCATCGTGTCGGCGGAGACCGCCGGTAACGGCCTCTACAACTTCATCGTGCCTCTCCGGGCCTACTACAGGCCACGCCGCGAGCTCAACCCGATCATCCTCCTGCTCGACAACCCGTGAGCATCGCCGGACGTTTCGATGATCAAAAACAAAATCCTTCGCATCTGCGGTGGCTATGAGATGTTACCTACATCGCCCGGTATACAGGAGGTTGCGGGTTCGATACCGACCCTGACGTCTGCTGCTGTATATTTGGAATTTGCGTCTCTCTCGTCATCATCACGGTGGCTGAGATGTTAACTACCTTGCCAGGTATACAGGAGGTTGTGGGTTCGACCCCGACCCTAACGCCTGCTTTATATTTGGAATTTGCGTATCTCTCGTCATCATCACGGTAGCTAGGAGATGTTACCTACATCGCCTGGTATGCAGGAGGTTGTGGGTTCGATCCCGACCCTGACGCCTGCTGCTGTATATTTGTAATTTGCGTGTCTCTCTCTCCCCGTGGTCGCGTGGATTTTTTCTCATTATCCTCCGGTTTTCCCCTCCACATTTAGAATCAACATCACGTGTTCAGAGTAATTGGCTGCTATACATTTCCACGTGATAATCCCCCTTCGTTGAGCCATCATTTGTTGCCAGGTCGCTTCTGAAAAAGAGCTGTGTAGCTCAGCGGGCCTTACCTGGTACGATGAAAAGTTGAGTTCAGTTTGTAATCGTCACCATCATCGTCGTCAGTTGGCTGAGGTTGAAACCGCGTTGCTGCTGCTGTCACATCTTTGGTGGAGCATCAAGGAATCAGAATGGAGCTCGATGATCCAGCACTCACTGATTAGCTCCGCTCACTCGCTCGCTCACTGGCAGTCAGTCGCTTCCTCATCGCTCTTCTGTCGATACTACAGTGGTTCGCGGGATTCCTCCCCAGCTGTGTTGAGTGCTCGGTCTAGCAGACACTGGCTGCTTTGTCTCATCCGCACCGCGTTCAAACCACCACCACCATCAGCAGCACCACCACCACACTGCAGGTTCCAACGTCACAACTCGCTCGCTCACTCACTCACCCACCCACCCACCTGCCCACTCCCTCGCCAGTTCACCAAGATCTTACGGTAATTACCTCCGCTCAGTTCAAGCAGCGCATCAACACTCGTATGCAACACATCCTCAATGGTGCTGCTTGTCGCTGGCCGCTTGACCATTTTGGGCCTTTGGGCCTGTGCTCAGCAAACCGTGATATATATAAAAAAACACTACGAGAATCTGTTCTTCTCATCATCATGTTGATATTGCTTGGTTGTTGGTCTGTGTTGCATTTGTTCCTGCTAGGCCCGAGTCGAGCTTTCTGGAGGCGATTTGCTACTTCCCAATGGTCTACTACATGGTGGGCTCCATTGACAAGTAAGCTACCCGTGTCACACACATGCGCGCGGTGAGCGAGCGGAGACTCCCGTGGGTGACGCGGTGAGCGAGCGGAGACGTGCGTGGGTGACGCAGTGAGCGAGCGGAGACGTGCGCGGGTGACGCGGTGAGCGAGCAGAGACGCGTGTGGATGACGCGGGAATGCCCGCGTCATCACAGCGTACCCACCGACGTCACACACACGCGGTGAAGCGAGTCATCAGCCCCGCCCCTGGCCCTGCTTGGCCCCGAGCCGAATTTAGGTGACGTGTTGCGATCCGGCTCCAGGGTCCAGACGGGAAAAAAGAGGCCCGAGTGGGAAAATCACCGGTGCCGAGAGGGCGACACGCTGGCTCGGCTTGCCTGCGCCGGTGGACAATCGTCTCTCTCTCTCTCTCTCACTCACCCGACTCCTCTCTCTGACTGGCGGTCTGTCGGCCACCTGGCAGCCTGGACACGCTGCTGCAGTGCGGCATCATCCGCGCGGACAACATCGTCGTGGTGGACAAGGAAAGCACGATGAGCGCCGAGGAGGAGTACATGGCCGACGCCAAGACCATCGTCAACGTGCAGACCATGTTCCGGTGGGTGGGCCTCGCCAGCGGCCGCGACGACACCGACATCATCATCGTCATCTTCGTCATCGTCGTATCGTCGTCGTCGACATCACCATGATTACTGTCGACATTATCGACGTCTCATCTCCGTCGACATCGTCGTTATTGACATTATCGCCGTCATTATCATCGACATCATCATTATTATTATTATCGTCTCGTCATCTTCATCGACATCATTATTATCGACATTATCATCGTCGTCGTCGTCGTCATTATCATCGATTATCATCATCATTGACATAATCGATGTCTCATTGTCATCTTCATCGACATCATTATTATTATCAATGTCTCATCGACATCATTACTAGCGACATTATCATATTCATTTTCATCAACATTATCATCGACATCATCATCGATATCATTGGCATCTCGTCACCTTCATTGACATCATTATCCACATTATCATTGTCTTCATTATCATCGACTTCATCATCGACATCAGCATTATCCACATATCTCATCGTCATCAACATCATCGACATCATCATGCATGTATGTTGAACCGTAGGTAGCCAACCGTGCTAATCCTCGTTATGAACATCATCGACATGATCAGTGGCGGCGTTCACATGTTCGTGATTGGGATCATTTCTTGCCATTGAGTTATAGAGAACCGTGGGAGTGGTGGCCCCAATGGAGAACCGTGAGAGTGGTGGCCCCCATAGAGAACCGTGAGACCGGTGGCCCCAATAGAGAACCGTGGGAGTGGTGGCCCCAATGGAGAACCGTGAGAGTGGTGGCCCCCATAGAGAACCGTGAGACCGGTGGCCCCAATAGAGAACCGTGGGAGTGGTGGCCCCAATAGAGAACCGTGGGAGTGGTGGCCCCAATAGAGAACCATGAGACTGGTGGCCCCAATAGAGAACCGTGAGAGTGGTGGCCCCAATAGAGAACCGTGGGAGTGGTGGCCCCAATAGAGAACCGTGAGACTGGTGGCCCCAATAGAGAACCGTGAGAGTGGTGGCCCCAATGGAGAACCGTGGGAGTGGTGGCCCCAATAGAGAACCGTGAGACTGGTGGCCCCAATAGAGAACCGTGAGACTGGTGGCCCCAATAGAGAACCGTGAGAGTGGTGGCCCCAATGGAGAACCGTGGGAGTGGTGGCCCCAATAGAGAACCGTGAGACTGGTGGCCCCAATAGAGAACCGTGAGACTGGTGGCCCCAATAGAGAACCGTGGGAGTGGTGGCCCCAATAGAGAACCATGAGACTGGTGGCCCCAATAGAGAACCGTGAGAGTGGTGGCCCCAATGGAGAACCGTGAGACTGGTGGCCCAAATAGAGAACCGTGAGACTGGTGGCCCCAATAGAGAACCGTGAGAGTGGTGGCCCCAATAGAGAACCGTGAGAGTGGTGGCCCCAATAGAGAACCGTGAGAGTGGTGGCCCCAATAGAGAACCGTGAAAGTGGTGGCCCCAATGGAGAACCGTGAGAGTGGTGGCCCCAATGGAGAACCGTGAGAGTGGTGGCCTCAATGGAGAACCGTGAGAGTGGTGGCCCCAATGGAGAACCGTGAGACTGGTGGTCCCAATGGAGAACCGTGAAAGTGGTGGCCCCAATGGAGAACCGTGAGAGTGGTGGCCCCAATAGAGAACCGTGAGACTGGTGGCCTCAATGAAGAACCGTGAGAGTGGTGGCCCCAATGGAGAACCGTGAGACTGGTGGTCCCAATGGAGAACCGTGAAAGTGGTGGCCCCAATGGAGAACCGTGAGAGTGGTGGCCCCAATAGAGAACCGTGAGACTGGTGGCCCAAATAGAGAACCGTGAGACTGGTGGCCCCAATAGAGAACCGTGAAAGTGGTGGCCCCAATGGAGAACCGTGAGAGTGGTGGCCCCAATAGAGAACCGTGAGACTGGTGGCCTCAATGAAGAACCGTGAGAGTGGTGGCCCCAATGGAGAACCGTGAGACTGGTGGTCCCAATGGAGAACCGTGAAAGTGGTGGCCCCAATGGAGAACCGTGAGAGTGGTGGCCCCAATAGAGAACCGTGAGACTGGTGGCCTCAATGGAGAACCGTGAGAGTGGTGGCCCCAATGGAGAACCGTGAGAGTGGTGGCCCCAATGGAGTGGTGTTGTTTCCCTGTTCACTGCAGGCTCTTCCCGGGGCTGAACATCATCACCGAGCTCACACACCCGGCGAACATGCGCTTCATGCAGTTCCGCGCCAAGGACAGCTACTCGCTGGCCCTCGCCAAGCTGGAGAAGGTGGGCGCTGCTGGCGGTGGCGGCAGTGATGGTAGTGGTGGTGACGGAGGTGGTGGTGGCGGCGGTGGTGGCGGTGGTGGAGGTGATGATGATGGTGGTGGAGGTCGATGTGGTGATGGTAGTGGTGGTGGTGACGGTATTTGTTTCACTTGTATTACATTTTTTCAAGAATCCCGAGCCCCTTGCAGCTATTTGGGCCCCTACTCTGTTGCTAAGCGTTGCTTAACGCTTAGCAACATTGGGCCAACGTGAGCCCAAACGTGAGCCCAACGTTGGCCCGACGTTAGCCCAACGTGAGCCCGACGTTGGGCCAAGTTTAGCACAACGTTGTCCCGACGTAGCCCGACGTTAAACCAACGTTGGCGCAACGTCGGACCAACGTTAGCCCAACGTGAGCCCGACGTTGGCCCGACGTTGGCCCAACCATTGCTGAGACCCACCACCGATGCCGACCATTATTCTGCGCGTGTTCTCTTCCCGTTCGCTTTTCCCAGCAAGAGCGCGAGAAGGGCTCGAACCTGCCCTACATGTTCCGTCTCCCGTTCGCGGCGGGCCGCGTGTTCAGCGTCAGCATGCTGGACACGCTGCTCTACCAGGTGACCCATCGCGGACGACCTTTCTGAAAAATAAAACAGAAAAAAAATGAATTACGTACCCTTTCATTTCGCGATAATCTCCCTCCCTTTCGAAACCGGCTCGAGCCTCCCGTACACCACGTGACTGCTGTGCGTCCCACCCGCCCCCGCCCCCCCCCACCAACTCTGAACCCCTCCACTCAACCCCCCAGCCACCGCCCACTCTGAAAACAGACACTGGCCGCTCCGTGCAGCTAACTGCTGCTGCTCGCCCCTTCTCTCTTGTCCCTCTCTTCCTCCTCTCATTATCCTCATCATTGGTGGTGGCGGTGGTGGCGGTGGTGGTGGTTGTGGTGGTGGTGGTGACTGTGGTGATGACGGTGGTGGTAGTGACGGTGCCGGCGGCGGTGGTGGCGATGGTGGTGGCGGTGCTGATGGGTGGTAACGGTGGTGGTGGTGGCGGTGCTGATGGGTGGTAACGGTGGTGGTGATGGTGGCGCTGGTGGCAGTAGTGGCGGCGGCACTGTGACTTCTCGACCGCGACCCTGTTTGTTTGTCACAGTCGTACGTGAAGGACTTCATGATCCCAATCATGAGGCTGCTGTTGGGCCTGGACACCACCCCCGGATCTGGCTATCTCTGCGCCGTACGTATCGACCCCTACGGCATCGCGTCCTCACGTCGGGCTCCTATTGATTTCTTCCCCATCAACAACAAAATAAACAAACGCATGACCCAGCAGCAGATTGAGAAAGATCTGAAGATTATTATTACTTCCGTTATTTCCACATCGGCAGACTTTGTTGCGTACCGTTCGCCGTCGTTCATGCCGCAAGGAGCAAGAAAAAACGTCGACCGTAGTGACCCCCACGCCGTGGGAATGTGGAATTTCCGCCGCCAGGGTTCGGCAGGAACGGCGGCCCACGCACGCTCGTTCGCTCGCTCGGACGCTCGCTCGCTCGCTCGCTCACGCACTTACACTCACTCATTCTCACGTACGCTCACTCACTCACTCGCTCTCACGCACACGCATGCGCTCGCTCTCACGCACACCCGCTCTCTCTCACGCACACTCTCTCTCATGCACACTCTCTCTCTCACGCACGCACACTCGCTCTCTCTCACGCACTCGCTCTCACGCACACTCGCTCTCTCTCTCACGCACACTCGCTCTCTCTCACGCACGCTCTCTCTCACGCACACTCTCTCTCACGCACACTCGCTCTCACGCACACTCGCTCGCTCTCACGCTCGCTCTCTCTCACGCACGCTCTCTCTCACGCACGCTCTCACGCACGCTCTCTTTCACGCACTCACTCTCTCTCACGCTCGCTCTCTCTCACGCACGCTTTCTCTCACGCACACTCGCTCTCTCTCACGCTCGCTCTCTCTCACGCACTCTCTCTCACGCACGCTCTCTCTCACGCACTCACTCTCTCTCACGCTCGCTCTCTCTCACGCACGCTCTCTCCCTCTCACGCTCGCTCTCTCTCACGCACGCTCTCTCTCACGCACACTCGCTCTCTCTCACGCTCGCTCGCTCTCACACACGCTCGCTCGCTACCGCGCACGAGCCGAGGGAGGTGGCATCTGTTGTCAGGTGCGCGTGACGGAGGGCGACCTGTGGATCCGCACGTACGGGCGGCTCTACCAGAAGCTGTGCTCCTCCTCGGGAGAGATCCCCATCGGCATCTTCCGCACCGAGTCGCACGACTTCCCCATGGCCGAGGCAGGTGCACCCGTGATGCTGGCCACCACCACCATGATGACCACGATGGCGACGATGTCGATGACTGTGATGGTGGCGACGGTGGCGACGGTGATGGTTGTCATTAATCAGGACGATGTTGATGGTGATGATGGTGACGACGACAATGATGATGATGGTGGTGGTGGTGATGAATCAGGACGATGTTGGTGATGGTGATGATGGTGGTGGTGATGATGAATCACGACAATGTTGATGGTATTGATGGTGACGATGATGATGATGATGGTGGTGGCAATGGTGATGGTGGTGATGACGAATCAGGCCGATGTTGATGGTGATGATGGTGATGATGATGATGGTGGCAATGGTGATGGTGGTGATGAATCAGTACGATGTTGATGGTGACGATGGTGACGGTGGTGGTGATGATGAATATTGAAGAGTATAACGATGGTGAAAGTGACGATGTATGTACCGTATGTTGAACTTCTTTCGCACCGTACCTTAGCCAACCGTGCTTATCGGAGGTACGGGCGAAGGACAACAAACTAGACACAAAGATCAGTTCTACGACGACGATCGGCTCCGTCGGGTCCTGGGAGGGCTGTCGTAAAACATTCGGCGTGAGACCTGCTGCGGACGATCATACCCAAAGCAAAACGAATTTACGATTCAGACCAAGAGAATGACCCCATGGAGTCGACGAGGCTCCCACAGGCTGCTGCTGCTGCTGCTACCATCTCGCAGACTAAGCTGGCGAAGTTGACGTCCTATCGACGTTCGTGATTTGTTGTTGTTGTTGTTTTTATTTCGCAGTCCCAGATGATGATTAAGTCAAACGTAAGTGATCTCCCTTCTTACCTATGCCCCCGCCCTTTCAATGGTCGGTCCGGGCGAGGCTGTCGCGTGAATCGACGAAGCGTCTAAGCCAGGCGGCGCGCGGCGGTGACGCTCACGCCTCGCAGCAACAGGGACCCTGGGTTCGATTCCTGGGTTCGATTCCCGAGGCCAAGGCGCCTCTCTCCGTGTGGAGTTTGTGCGTTCTGCCCCTGTTGTGCAGAGTGAGCGTGTGGGGCGCGGTAGTGTAGCGAGTGGCCCATTGTTGCTGCGAACCCGGCGAACACGGTTCGATTCCCGGTCACAGCCACTACCAGTGACGGTTATCTGCACCAGTCCTGAGCCACGCCTAGGTCGACTCAGCCTCAAATAAGCACCTGGTGCGGTGTGTGTGGACCAGAGCGTCACTTGAACGAAGGGATTTCAGAGGTCGCCCTCTGATATCCGCTTCCTTGGGCCGGTCTGTGTGGACCAGAGCATCACTTGAAGAGGAAGGAATCTCGTAGGTAGTTCTGTGATATCCGCTTCCGTGGGCCATTTTCTCCAACGAAGGGTTGCACTGCTCTACAGGAGTTCGTGATCACATGACACTGCCAGTTGAATTGGGATGACTTTGGAGTAAAATAACAAAGAAAATATATATTAATTTTTACAGCCAATTATTAACAGAAATAAGACATATCAACACACAATGGGAAATGCGTGTTGTTTTGCTGCACAGACTTAAACATTCCACAGACTATTTTCAATGTCAGTCTTGACATGATGAAACACATAGAGCGTGTGCTGGCTGAACATTGAAGTGCATCTCTCTTCAGGCTGGCTGCCTACGATCCATCCTGGCTGTAATCAGGCTGGATTGTGTGAGGAGCTCACAGATCTTTGAAAGATCGGCAGGGAGGTCCTCCAGCTTGCGAGGCCGCATTGGCTGGGTCAGGTAGTCCGCACGCCCCAGCGGTTGATTGGCTGGAGAGAGAATTGCCCCACGTCCATCCACATCCATGTCACCATGTTCCCTTTAACCCCTTTGTCTCGCCACGTCTCCCTCCGCTTCCCATCAACGCCACGTCTCCTCGTTTCTCCCCCACCTCCCTCCGCGTCTTCTTTCGCGTCCGATCACAGCCACGTCTCCCCGTGTCTCCATCTCTGCTCATCTACCCCCAAATCTCCCCGCGTCAACCCCCCACGTCTCCCGCCACCACCCATCGCTCCGCGTCTACCCCCCCTCCCCACGTCTCCCGCCACCTCCCATCACTCTGCGTCTACCCCCCTCCTCCCCCCCCACCCCCGTATCTCCCACCACCACCCATCGCTCCGCGTCTACACCCCGCATTCTCCCCCCACCACGGCTGCCCTCTTCCCCGCTCACCCACTGCCCATCTTCCCGCAGTCCCGGGCGTCCATGGGCGGCTACGACACGTTCGAGAGGGGCGGCGGCGGAGACCACCCTCAGGATTCGCTGCTCCATCTCGGCGGCGGCGGCGGCGGCGGCTGCCGCCGGTTCAGCTTCCCAGTGCCGACCCTGCCGTGCGAGCGCTCGCTGCCCCGCTCGCCGGTCTCCGAGCCCCCCTCCGACGTGCCGCTGCTGCGCCGCAAGAGCCTGCAGTGGGCCCGCCGCTTGACGCGCTGCAGCCCGCGCGTCAGCGTCTCCAGCCTCGGGGGCGGCGGAGGCGGCGGAGGCGGCGGCGGCGGCGGAGGCGGCGGCGGCGGCGGCGGCGGCGGCGGCGGCGGCGGCGGCGGCGGAGGAGGAGGAGGCGGCGGCGGCGCCGGCGGCAGGCCGGGGCCGTCTCGCCGTGCCGCCGACTGCATCAACTGGCAGCGCATGGCGCTGTTCCGGCGCTCGGAGAGGCAGGAGCTGGGCGAGCTGGTGCGTGGGCGTATGCGCCACCTGGGCCTGCCCACGCAGGGATACGGTAGGGGTGGGCGTGGAGGCGGGGGGGGGGGGGGCGGCAGGCGCCGCACAAATGGAATCTCTGTGGTTAGTTTCGCGATTAAATGTCCGTCCGGTTTTTGAACGAGCGCCGTTTTTCGCCAAAATCGGTATTATTTACAGATACGCTTTAGGGGTGGCCGATGCGTGTGTCGTCGGTTTTCTGACCGCACGCGCGTTGTGCGATTGTAGCCAGGGACGGTCACTGCGTCACGCGTTTTCAGATGCGCTTTTTAGGCCATCTGGAACGCTCCTCCTCCTCCTGATATTAGGATGCCAATGGAGCTATTAATTTTTGTTTAATCCTAAAGATTTGACAAACTGCTTTTTGTGTTCGGTTTTGTTGTTCTTCGCCTGCACCTCCGATTAGTAGCACAGTCGGCTACATATGGTGCGAAAGAAGTTCAACATACAAACAAATGTTGCAGTGAAAAAACTACTCGCGGCACGCTCGTGTTGAGTGAACTGCAGTCAAAGAACATTGAAGTGCATCGCTCTACTCGTATTTGAAGCACGTCAGCGGTTAGCGCACCGAACTACGAACCTGGAGACCTGCGTTTGATCCCCAGCCAGGGCCAATGTTGGTGGTGATTATCTCAGCCGGTCCTGGGCCTCCGCTCGGCCCACTCACCCTGACTGTGTACATTTTGCGGTGCCGTTTTGTCCCAACTTGGCCAAATGTGGACGGTGACGAGCCGCTTCAGATGAGATGGGAGACAACGAGAACATGCTGTCGTACGTGCTCGTCAACCCGCCGCCGGACACGCCGCTGGAGCTCAACGACATCGTGTGAGTGGCGGCGTTCCGCCTACCCCGCGCCCCCCCCACCCCTCGCGGGGCCCGCGCTTGATGACGCGGCCCACGGAGCGGAATGGCTCCCGCCTCTCGGTTCGCCCACCCGCCCACCCGCCCACACGCCGCCTCGCTCATCATCGTACGGCTCAAGTTGGTGCAGGGCGATGGCTGCTGTCTTACATCGAGGTGGTTTAGTGAGCCGGGATCGTTGCGGAGTGGAGTGCGTCGCTGCTGCGATGAAGCCTCCCTCCCTGCATCCCTCCTCCCCCCCCCTCCTTCTTCTCCTCGTTTGTTAAATCGGGCCTTGAGTCGACGTTAATATTCTCCCAGGGCGGTGGTCTCTTCGCACACTGACCGGGGAGTTTTTAAGATTTTACATTTGTGCGTCAAGCCTCTGCATCTACCGCTGCCATGGCTTGTGTGCGCGGATGCGGTTTCGGGTTGTCGCCCCAAAAGCTTCGCGGAAAATTGAAGCATTGTTGTCTTGATTCAGAATCTATTTTACAGTTTTGGGCCTCACCAATTTGATCTAACAAAATTTTAAATGATCCGACCAAATCTGTGTGTCAAGACCCTCCGCCACCCAACATAGCCAAAGAAATGTAACTGTCACGTGGTGTGCAAGCGTTTAACCATGCACCAATTATCACTTTAGCTCACTCACTGGTGGTAACTTAGATAATTCTCACAAGCAAAGTTAGATCAATAGGTTATATGAAGCTTCTCTTCTGAAGCTGCGTCAGGTTAATCAAAAATAAGCTTGGAAAGCCAGCCGCTACAAGTTTGTAAATCTTTTGTGGAAAGAGAGGAAGACCTACCAGAGAATGCCTTGATGACATAAGAGATTGGTGCCAGTAGGATGTGGCTACTACTTGAGCATATTGCCACAAGGCAGAGAGGAAAGCGGAAACGAAATGACATGTGAAGGGGACATCCACCTGTGGGCTATCTGCCCCATGGATCGTGATGACGATGGTGAATTATTTTGTGTTTTCTTTCGTTTTAGCTACGTGATCCGGCCCGACCCTCTGACCTCCGTGGCTCAGGATCTTTCGCAACGCGATTCAAGCGCCCTGGACGCAGGCGACACCAAGCTGTGACCGAGATGGAAGCCGAGGAAGAGGGGGAGGGTGAAACAAGACGCAAAAACCACGCCCTGACGCTCGCCTTGTCCTGTACTGTGCCACGATGCCGGCAACGTGGGTTGTCCGGTTGACCCCTTGACCCGAAGTCGTCATTCCCGCCTCGGTTCGCTTGACTTCAGAGTAAATGAGCACACGGCAGTGACGTTGTCATTGTCGGCGCTGGCGAGACAACCCAGGTTACGAGCGTTGCTCGTGCGTAACAATGGAACCCCTGTTAACGATGGTAATTGGTTCCACGGAACCGGCTGTTAAGCGATTTGGTCGTTAAGCGAGTATAGGAAATACACGCGAAAGGCTTAATTCGTTCCAATAGCATCGAAAGTTAACCCTTTTTCACGCCAAAAAAAACCGTACTTTATCGTATTTAAACAATGGATAATAAAACGTAAATATGCTAACAACGTTATGAACACGAAATATAACGAAAGTTAATAAATGCATTAATTAATATTTACTGTACCTACAACAGCCCGTTGTTGACAGGGGAATGGTCGGTAAGCGAACACATTGGGCTCTATGGAGGCACTACACTACTATACACTACACTACTATACACTACACTATACACTACGCGTTATACTCCACTACTATACACTACACTACTATACACTACACTTTATACTCCACTACTATACACTACACTATACACTACACATTGGGCTGGTCGTTAAGAGGGTTCCTACTGTGTTGCTGGCCACATTATCCACTTCCACTGTCAACAACAACAACCGCCATTCGCCACTAAGTGGCGGTGATGTCACCACGACGCTTGTGCCAGCCTATGTGCACTTTGAGGCCACGTGAAGTGTCGAACGCCCGCTGACAGGAGGTCAATGGGCAGACCCAGGTGCCACGGGTCGACTGACTGAGATCACTGGCTGATGCACCACCTGTGCCCCCTACTGTGCCAACTTGCTGTGCTTTAGCCACCCGGCGCTCCGCTCGTTGTTGTGAGCATCGCTCCTCCGCCCTCCGTTGTTGTTGGAGGGCGACTGCCTCCAACTGCCCAGTAGGAGCGTCCTTCATGAGCCTCCTCCACAGAGGCCGATCTTGACACCGCTGGTACCAGTCATCAGCAAGTCCACTCAGCTCCACGTCCTCCTGTACCACATCACTCCATCTCTTCTCTAGCCCGTGCCACGCCCGTTTAGCCCCCTCGATCTGGCAGAACAAAAGCTGTTACGGCATGCGGTGGCTGGGCATGCGGGCTACATGAACCAGCCATCGCAGCCCCCAACCACTATCCCCTCCCCCGCCCGCCCCAAGTTTTCATTTTTGTCCGAAGACAAAAAAAACCTTCTGGCCTCACACCTAAGTTAAAGATGCGAGCGGTGGGTGGCGCTACCTGAGCAGTGGGGCGGAGCTACGCGGAGCTGTGGGCGTGGCCAGCGGCTGAGTGGGCTGTGGCTATATAAAAATAAAGTGGGAGGGGCTGCCAGCTCCTCACGTGTGTCCAAGTTAAGCCCCGCCCCCCCAACCAGAAATCTGATTGCCTTTGTGTGTTCATTTGTGATGTGCATTGAAAAATAATACATGTACCTAAACAACAGGAAAGCTTTCAGTTTCGTTACATTTTCTAAGCAAGCCAACTTTACATCGACATATTTTGTTTTAGAAATGTGTGATCGGCAGTAGTAATTTCTCATTACCGTTGGCGAAAATGCGAATTGGGTCAAATGCCGCAACAATATACTTAATACAATTTGTGTGATATAATAATGCTCAACAAATCATATTAATCACCCAGTACATAAGTTACGGACGTGCATGCCGTCATCCGTCCATTCCGTGTGGGATTTAGTGAGTTTCCTTCACATGCTCCAGTTCCCTCCAAAAATATGCTCATTTAATCCATACCTGTCAACCCCTTATCAGTGCCCTACCTCATTACAGACCAATTCAGACCTGATTGGTCACCCCGTGCCCTTACAAATCTCAACGTTCATCCAACAAAGTCCCATCATAAGGGAGAATCACAAGCAGACAAAATAGTTCTGCCCGCATTGAAACGGCCGTATGCCGTATGGACCTGAAAACTCAATTTCCCTGTACAGGAATACAGGGTTAATCGCATGGGTAGACAGGTATGTTAATATATCGAGGGCCGGAGAGCTAGGCCAATTGTTGGCAGTGGTGGCTTACTACCTGTGCGTGGTGGGCTACTAGCTGAACCTTAAATAATATTCGCATCTCATTTCAAGGTTGTGGTCCTGGTGAGACGACGCGCACTCATCAGTGCCACTGCAAAATTTCGAAGAGATCGGCAGACAATTCATATCGCACAAACCACTCGCACAGAGATGCACAGATTCCAATGGAGACCCACAGATTTCCATACAGACCCACAGACCTAAATATATTTTGCGTAAACACAGACTTGCATAGGGAATCGACAGACCCACATAGAGGCATGGACACATTAAAGTATTAGAAATATAGATATTACATCTAAAATAAATATTTTACATAGAATAAAGAAACCCAGTTAACAACAAAAAGTAGCACATGTCATAAGAAAAAGGTTAAAAATGTATAACGTTGTTGTGAAGTTAAGTGTGTGCACGTAGAAGTTTAATTTACACGCGTTGGTTTGCTGTGAATATTATTGTAGCTTGACTTCAGCCTTTGCTTAGATGTTACCTAAATCAGTCAGCCCCACATTGTGATATTAGCCGGGGGCGGTGGTGGTGGCAGTGGCTACGCTGCTGCTGCTGCACGTGGCTACCTGCAGTGATCTAGCGCTGTGGAGGCAGCAGCAGCAGCAGCTAGGGTTGGTGGATCATCGCACATACAGGCGATGTGTGACACCTCCCTTCCCGTAGGGGTCGAAGAGGAGCCGTACCCTGGCTCTGCCAGGAGATGGCGACACAGCAAAAACGTGGTCTCCCATGTCATACCTGTCAATCCTTTATCAGTGCCTTACCTTATTGCAGACAAATTCAGACCTTATTGGTCACCCTGTGCCCTTATAAATCTCAACGTTCATTCTACTAAGTACCATCACAAGGGAGAAACACAAACAAATAGACAAAAAATACCTATATTGAAACAGCTTAATGCCGTATGGACCTGAAAACTAAATTTCCCTCGACAAGAATACGGAGTACACAATATGGGTTGACAGGTATAATGCCATCTGTTCTGTCTATATGGGATAGAGTGTTTCCCCAATACATACGTGAAACACTCACCTATGTGCAAACACTCGTCAATTGGCCGATAACACCTTGATATATATATAGGGCAAAGCTTGGATAATTGTTGGCACCGGTTGACCACGTGGCTTGGTGGATCCTTCCTGCCCTTCACACTCGTCTCGTCGTTCATTCCCGCGCCTCTGAGTCATTCTCTCTCGCGCTCTCTCTTCCTCTGCGAGGCCGGAGGAGGCCCAGCGGGTGGGTGGGCGACAGAGAGGCGGAGAGTTGTCGTCGGGGCGATTCCCCGTTTTTCATTCGTTTCGCTGGGGCCCATTGCCCAACCCCGCTACGCCACTGGATGGAGGAGATTTGCCATACGGATACTTTCGTGGATGTGAACCAGACGAATTTCCAATTTCGTACCAGGAGGGGCTTTCCATGCGAGCGGTAGCTACTCGCCGCGTGGTGGCCCGAGGCTAAGGTGCCTTCCTGATATCGTGATGATCGTCCAAACCGTGAAAATTGGCATGTTATTGTGAAAAAGTGACAACATGCGCGGCCGTACCGGCCAGTTGGCCTTGTCCGCATCTGCGGCACTCCAAGCTCTGCTGCTTGGACGTGATTCTATGCTTATATTAACTTGAATCAACAGGAGAGTTCAACCTCTGCAGGCCCTACCAATTCCTCGCTAGGCCCCACCATACTTAACTCCTTAGACTCCCTCCCCCCGTTCCTTAAGCACCCCCATCGCCTCTTCCTCTTGAGGCTCTGCGCCTTTCCTTTTCAGACCCCGCCTCTTTTTTTGCATGAGCCCCGCCTCTTTCTGTTTAGGCCCCGCCTCCTTCCTCCGGCGGGGGGTCAGTGGGCGTGGTAGGCATTGGGCAGGGTCACGACACCGCCAAGAATCCCTCTCAAGAGCGGCGAGGTGACAACAGGTCGCGTGCAGCCCGCAAACTTACAGCTCTTTCATTCCGTCTCGACGACCTCGCCTTCAAGTTTAAGTGGCGTGACTTAGCGTTGATATATTTAAACGCCGTATGTGCCAGTGGGCTTGCGGTAGGCGCGTGTTCGCGTGAACAGTAGTTTTGTGTTGATTTGAAGCTTTCGTGACTAGGGGAATCCATACTCTTTGGTTCTTTCGGTAAAGTCACGTAGGTATAAAATAATAAGCACGACTCATTCTTTCGCAGCTAGCTGATGACGGGCGCTTGTGTTGCGCCCGAAACGTCGTGATTCATTTTATTTTATACCTACGTGACTTTACCGAAAGTATCAAAGAGGATAGTAGTTTTGTGAGGGTTTTTTTTTTCCGCAGCCAATATTATTCGCAACTGTTTTTGTTTTTTTTTGGGGGGGGGGGGGGGGAGTCTGGCCACTTCAATCACCCGGCGATATTTTCCTGCCCTCTCCACCGGCCCTGATGATTCAAATGTTTGGCTTTAAGGTCGGGGTTTGGCGATGGAGGGTTATATTTTCGGAAAATTTGCCGAGGCTTATTTGGTAGTGGCCTAACTTTTGACGTTAGTTTCGGATCAACGCAGTACCGTATACCTGTATTAAGGGGCCGTCCATAAATGACGTCACGCACCTAGGGGGGGCGGGGGGGGGGGTCAGACATTTGTGACGATCTGTGACGAGGTGGGGGGGGTTTGAGAAATGTGACGTCACATCAAAATGCGCAATTTTAAATAAATATAGACAACACGTTCTACTTTATTAAATAGACTTTTTTTTTTTAAATGTTTTGATCCTACAACATCAGAGTGCAGTGCCACATTAAATACGCACTACAATGACAATAGTTTAAAGCGATTTGAAGCATGTTTTATGGAAATATGGTTTGGGGGGGGGGGGCAGAGCTTTGTGACGTCATATTTAAGGGGGGGGTCGGACTTTTTGTGACGTCGTGTGACGAGGGGGGGTTCAAAAATCGTCCAAAATCGCGTGACGTCATTTATGGACGGGCCCCTAAGCTGTCTCGTGCATTCTAAATCGTAGTAAAATCACTGTCAATCATCGGCTCTCGAAATCGTGCTTTAGGGATGGCTGAACCACAGAATATCTGTTGGCAATATTTCGTCGCGGGCAAACTTTCTTGTCCATGCGATCGTGAGTGATGATCGTCTCGTGGATGATGATGATGGTGGTGGTGTATTGACGATTTCTTTCAAATATATCACACAAGCGTTTGTAAATTTTGAATTTCTCCGCTTCTCTTTCTCACACACGCCTTTAGTTTAAAGCTCGTGCAACGAAGGGAGCTGCAAGTCAAAGTTTCTTGATAGAAAGAACGTACGCAGGGGAGGAGGCCGTGATGGCGTGGAGGATGCCGTGATACACTCACTAATCTTACACTGACTCACTCACACATCATACACTGACTCACTCACACATCATACACTGACTCACTCACACATCATACACTGACTCACTCACACATCATACACTGACTCACTCACACATCATACACTGACTCACTCATCATACGCTGACTCACTCACACATCATACACTCACACAACCACTGACCCATTCACTCATCATACAATGATTCACTCATAATACGCTGACTCACTCACACATCATACACTCACTCACACTGCCACTGACTCACACATCATACACTGACTCACTTATCATACGCTGACTCGCACATCATACACTCACTACCATTGACGCACTCACACATCATACACGGGGAGTGTCATGTTGACAAGTTTGTTCGTACATGTTAGGTATATCGTTTATTACTCTTTGGTTCTATTGGGTAAAGTCACGTAGGTGAAAATAAAATAACAAAAAACAAAATAACAATTTTTTTGTTATTTTATTTTCACCTACGTGACTTTACCCAATAGAACCAAAGAGTATGTATCCTAGCAGTCACGAAAGCTTTAGATCTAGAATATCGTTCATTGTTAAATTTGAATCAAAGTTCCTATGATTACTGTTGTTACATTGTACTTTATAGCTTTACTTTGGTGATTTCTAAAACATATGGCTAAGCCGTGTTTCTTGCGGAAGTGCGGAGTTGGCCTGATAACTTGAATCTAAATTGTCTTACGGTTGTTATTGTTTGACTTGCATCACACTGGGATTTTTTGCACGCAGCGTTGTAATACGGTGGGTTGTTTTTCTGGAAGATTTGCTGGTTTATCCCAGGATGTTTCTCTGTTCATATTTTGTTTGTTGCGGTTGCACCCGACTCAAGAACCGCATGGCTCCACAGGGCTATACCTCATAAATGAAAACTTGAAACGTCGCTGCAACGTTGCTGCAAAGTTCGCCCAAAACGTTCTTCCGTGATAGGAAAGACATCTACCGGAATGGAACGGCAACTTCTGGAATAAGAGAAATATTCTTCTGGAAGAGGCAAGAAATCTTCCGGAATGAAGATATAATCTCCCGAAACTGGGAAGTGCACTTCCGGAATAGGAATACTTCTTATAGAATAGGAAGTGATCTTCCGGAAATTGACAGGAGGCGCTTCTGGAATAAGGAAGAAATCTTCCGGAATAGGCTCATCGACTTTTGAAATAGGCGGTCTCCTGGAATCGGCAGAGAAAATCTTCCGGAAGAGAAATACGTCTTCTGGAAAGGGTGTTCATCCGGAATTGACAGAAATTGCTTCTGGAAGTGGCAGTAATCTTTCGGAATAGGCTGATCAACTTTGAAATAGGAGGCGGTCTCCTGGAATCGGTAGAGAAAATCTTCCGGAAGAGAAATACTTCTTCTGGAAAAGGTGTTCATCCGGAATTGACAGGAATTGCTTCTGGAAGTGGCAGTAATCTTTCGGAATAGGCTGATCAACTTTGAAATAGAAACGCATTGGTTTTTTTCGGTAAAGTCACGTATGTAGAAATACCATAAAATCACATTAAAACAAATCAATCACGACGTTTCGACCGCAACACAAGCGATCTTCATCAGGTGTAAAAAAAAAACCCAAATAGCACATAGGGTGACATCAACGCAACACGTAGAGAGCTTTAAACTTGCACGGAGGTAAATACAACAAGAAGATGAGAGACGAGAATTCAACAAACCTAAGAAAAAAATTACGTGATGCAAAACCAGTCAGGCCAACGACACGGTTAGACACTTGCCTGGCAGACCACGAATTTCAGAAGAGTGCTAAATTTGGTGTTCATCCTCTGGGTTGAACATACCAGCATAGACAGAGTGAACAAATACGAGGTGCAAGATAGCAGAAATACATATACAGGGAAACCAAGAGGTAAGAAGGTGGAAAGACGGACAGAGAAGCAAGAAAAAGGGGCCGGAGGGATGAACGTACAGAGGCTTAAAATAAGCAGTAGAGTTGCCTCCTGGAATAGGGAGAAAATATCTTCCGGAATTGAAATACTTATTTTGGAAAAGAAAGCGATGTTCTGGAATTGCCAGGAATTGCTTCTGGAATAGGAATAAATCTTCCGGAATAGGCTGATCAACTTCTTTGGTTCTTTCTGTAAAGTCACGTAGAATGAGAATTTTATTGTGTTATTTTATTTTATTAATTTATTATTTTATTCTCATTCTACGTGACTTTACCGAAAGAACCAAAGAAGATGAATCCTTGCAGTCACGAAAGCTTTAAATCGAAATTTTTATCGCCTCTACGCGGAGGGATTCCACACAACCTTAAGATTATTCAACAGACTCCGGGATAAGAAGGCTCAACTAATCGAGTCTCTCACCTTTCTGAAGAGATGCCGCGACTCTAAGCTTAAAGGTCGCGGTCTGAGCGTGGCTGTGTTCGCTCCAGCGCTGTCCTCCAGACATTCTCGTCCCTTCACCTGATGAAGGCCACTTGTGTTGTGGCCGAAACGTCGTGATAATTTTATTGTGTTATTTTATTTTATTATTTTATTATTTTATTCTCATTCTACGTGACTTTACCGAAAGAACCAAAGAAGATGAATCATTGCAGTCACTAAAGCTTTAAATCGTAATTTAGGCTGATCAACGTTGAAATATTGTAGTTTTCAGTTTCATTTATTTTGGTTTTACCCTGTGAGCCATTCGGCTCTTGATTCAGGTGCAACCGCAACAAACAATAAAATTACAATATACATTTAAAATTTACTGCACGCAAATTTAAACACCCACCCACAAAAACAAATGAAATATTCCAGAAAAAAAGCACCATATGTTTATGCTGCGTACCGTTAACACTGTGGTGCACACACAGACACACGTGACACTCACGTGTGTCTCACCGTTAACACCGCGGTGCACGCACAGACACACGTGACACTCACGTGTGTCTCACCGTTAACACTGGTGCACACACAGACACTAGTGACACACTCGCGTGTGTCTCACCGTTAACACGGCGGTGCACACACAGACACACGTGACACACTCACGTGTGTCTCACCGTTAACACTGTGGTGCACACACAGACACTAGTGACACTCACGTGTGTCTCACCGTTAACACTGTGGTGCACGCACAGACACACGTGACACTCTCACGTGTGTCTCACCGTTAACACTGTGGTGCACGCACAGACACACGTGACACTCACGTGTGTCTCACCGTTAACACTGTGGTGCACACACAGACACACGTGACACTCACGTGTGTCTCACCGTTAACACTGTGGTGCACACACAGACACACGTGACACTCTCACGTGTGTCTCACCGTTAACACTGCGGTGTGCACAGACACTAGTGACACTCACGTGTCTCACCATTACCACTGTGGTGCACGCACAGACACGCGCCGGCGCGGGCCACCGTTGCTATTTTAATATGCGCGCGCATCACACCCACACTGATTGACAGTCACCCACACACCGTCGTACGCCGATCGCTGTCCCACCGCTCTTCACACGCGCACACATGCACCACGCGTCACAACGTCAGTCTGTGCTAAGATTTATTTCCCGGAGCGAATAGGGGACCCCCGTTTATGGCCCCCTCCAGCCAGCACCCTTCGGACAGCGTCTAACCTCCTATCACCTGGCCGTCGCAGAGTGCGTCTATCCCCCAAGCTCGAGCTGACTGAATTGGCCCCCCTTTTCCGTACCCGCTCACATCTTCAGCTGCCCGATGGGGGCTGGGGAAGATGCTCGCCTTGGGAGACTTTTTCTGGCCGATCGTTTCCAGCTCCACCCTGCAGGCGGCGCTCGGACGCTGAGGCCGGCTGGTCTCTCCCGCCGCTCCAGAAGAACTCTGATTCAATTTTCCCGCCTTCCTCCCTTATGTTCCCAAAGCCCGTTAACCCCCGGGTCATATGACGTCATCCTGCGCATCCAATCGAATGCTCTTAGCGGCGGTTTTGAGCGCTCTGGCCGTTGGGGGGGTCTCGTCATCCCCCCCCCCATCCCATTGTCTCTGTGCCTGCGTTCCTCGCCGTTGACTCACCGATAATCCCCTCGCTCCCTCCAACTTAAATCAACTCTTATCTGCCTAGCCTGGGGGTTTTTCCCTCCCACCCCACTGTTTACCCTGCCGCTGGGTGCTGGCCTTGAGGTCCCATCCCCCCGTGTTGTGTATGCTTCATCGCGGCCGGCCTGTAAAGCTCTATGCCCCCTTTTATTTGGGGGGGGGGGCGCTGTGTAATCCGGTCTGGGGGGGCTCAGCCAATTTCCTGGTCCGGGGAAACCGTGGAACGTCCCTGCTAGTAGGGCCCTCCGGTGAAACCCCATCGTACCACGTGATCCCTCCTCGAGACCCTACGGGGGTGCATGTGAGTGTTGAGTGGGGCGTGCGTTCGGGGGGGGGGGGGGGGGGGGAGGTGCAAGGAGAGGGTAGGGCTGGCCGAGCTGCTCAAGCTGCGGTGGCTCCACAATAACTCTAAACTGCAAACATAACAAATACGGCTTAACTGAACCTTTTTTTTTTTTAGAAATCACTAAAATAATGCTATTAAAAAAAACGTAACAGTGATCATTGGAAATGTGATTGAAAGTTAGCAATAGCCACATACATAGCATAAATTACTAAAGCTAGCATCCTTAGCTAGCTTAGCTTAAATAGTAAGTCGCCTTCTGGAATGGGTAGATTTATCTTCCGGAATGGGAAGAGGTCTTCCGGAATTGGAAGAGAAGCCTACGTCATAAAAAAACTAAGAGCTCGAGCCATCGGAAGAAGGCGTCGCTATTCTCAACAAGGCTCACGCTCATTGGTCGGAGCGCATGCAACGCCTCCCCCCCTGATTGGTCCGCGCGTCGCCCGAGTCACTCCCCGTCGTTAGCGGCTGAGCGCGGTTCGAATCCTGGCTCCGGTGAGTTTAATGTTATTAAATTGTTATTTTATTTTATAATGATTATTATCGTCGCTTGTTTAATGTTGTTACTGCTGCTGTTGTGCTTCTGACCTGAGACGTTATTGTTTTACTCGTTCATATACCGTACAGTTTTATAATGATTATATCAAAATACACACGCGTACAGTGTGCATGCAATGATACCCCAAGACCCGTTAGGGCGATGCGCTTATTGGTGACCACATTAAGTTTACTTTGTGAACAGCAACAATATTCTCACGACGTTTCGGCCACAACACAAGCGGCCTTCATCAGGTGAAGGGACGAGACTGTCTGGTAGGACAGCGCTGGAGTGAAAGAGCCACGTTCAGATCACGACTTTTAAGCTTGTGTGTTGTGGCCGAAACGTCGTGAGAATATTATTGTGTTATTTTATTTTATCAATTTATTATTTTATTCTCATTCTACGTGACTTTACCGAAAGAACCAAAGAAGATGAATCATTGCAGTCACGAAAGCTTTAAATCGAAACAACAACATCACAACAACAACATCACAACAACAACAACGTCTCGAATATCCGCACAGATGCGTTCACCAATCACCAACACACCCCCTCCACTACCATCCCGTTTTTATATATTTTGCGATAACAACATATATAAATGAGATAATTTAACAGCATTCTGCTGGATAACGAGGGGGATTCTTCAAGCGGTACGGATCCGTATGGGGGGGGGGGGGTTGTTTGACCATACTTCACCATCCTGGTCAGTGCGGGTTGGTGATGATGATGGTGGTGGTGGTGGGGAGCGGTGGTGCAGCGGTTAGCGCTACGCTGCGCTACGAACCCGGCTATGACCCGGGTTCGATTCCCGCTCACGGCCAACACCTAGGTCGACTCAGCCTCAAATGAATACCTGGCGACATGCGTAAACATCGCCACTAGGGGAGACAAAGGCGGCCGGGCGTGGTCCTGGCCACCCCCCCCCCCCCCTTTGTGTGCCGTGCCGGCCTTCATAGGTGCTGCTGCTCGCTAACAGCACTTGCCCCAACAGTCTGTGTTACAGGCTATGCGGAGTATCTTTGTCTTTTGTGTGTTTGTGTGTGTTAGTGTGTGTGTGTTAGTGTGTGTGTATGTGCCTGGGTATTTTGTACCATCGGACACTCCACCCCCACAACTCCCAATCGGTGATGGGGCAGTTGTGGAGAGAGTGGAGAGTTTCCCATACCTGGGCAGTGTGCTTATGACTGGCTCCAGTTTAACAGCAGAGGTCTCACTCCGAATCAGTCGAGCGGCAATATCTTTTCATCGGTTGCGTAACGCTGTGTGGAAGCTACCTGGTCTGTCGCTCCGCACTAAGCTTCAGGTCTTCTCGGCCACGGTCATTCCCTCCCTTCTCTACGCTTGCGAAACGTGGACCCCCCCTAATGGAACATCTTCGCCGGTTAGAAACATTTAGGCTGGCCTGCCTACGATCCATCCTGGGTTTAACCAGACTGGATTGTGTGAGGAGCTCACAAATCCTTGAAAGATCTGGGCAGGGTCCCATCGGTGAGCTCCTCCGGCAGGCAAGGCTGCGATGGCTGGGTCATGTAGCCCGCATGCCCAGCCACCGCATGCCGAAACAGCTTTTGTTTGGCCGGATTGAGGGGGCTAAGCGGGCGCGGCACGGGCTAGAGAAGAGATGGAGTGATATGGTACAGGAGGACGTGGAGCTGAGTGGACTTGCCGATGACTGGTACCAGCGGTGTCAAGATCGGCCTCTGTGGAGGAGGCTCGTGAAGGATGCTACTGGGTAGTTGGAGGCAGTCGCCCTCCAACAACAACGGAGGGCGGAGGAGCGACGCTCACAACAGCGAGCGGAGCGCCGGGTGGCTAAAGCACAGCAGGTTGGCACAGCAGGGGGCACAGGTGGTGCATCAGCCAGTCATCTCAGTCAGTCGACCCGTGGCACCTGGGTCTGCCCCGTGACCTCCTGCCAGCGGGCGTTCGACACTTCACGTGGCCTCAGGGTGCACATAGCCTGGCACAAGCGTCGTGGTGATAGTCACCGCCCACTTAGTGGCGAATGGCGGTTGTTGTTGTTGTATGTGTTAGTGTGTGTTTGTGTGTTAGTGTGTCTTTGTGTGTTAGTGTGAGTGTGTTAGTATGTGTGTGTGGAGGAGTCGGAGACGCTGCTGCTGAGACTGGAGCGTGCCACTAAGAGATGGGGCCTTACCATCAGCTCCACCAAAGCTAAGCACCTGCCTGGGTATTTTGTACCATCGGACACTCAACCCCCACAACTCTCAATCGGTGATGGGGCAGTTGTGGAGAGAGTGGAGAGTTTCCCATACCTGGGCAGTGTGCTTATGACCGGCTCCAGTTTAACAGCAGAGGTCTCACTCCGAATCAATCGAGCGGCAATATCTTTTCATCGGTTGCGTAACGCTGTGTGGAAGCTACCTGGTCTGTCGCTCCACGCAAAGCTTCGGGTCTTCTTGGCCACGGTCATTCCCTCCCTTCTCTACGCTTGCGAAATGTGGACCCCCCTAATGGAACATCTTCCCCGATTAGAAACATTTAGGCTATCCTGCCTACGACCCATCCTGGGTTTCACCAGCCTGGATTGTGTGAGGAGCTCACAAATCCTTGAAAGATCTGGACAAGGTCCCATCGGTGAGCTCCTCCGGCAGGCAAGGCTGCGTTGGTTGGGTTATGTAGCCCGCATGCCCAGCCACTGCATGCCTTAACCACTTTTGTTTTGCCGGATCGAGGGGGCTAAACGGGCGCGGCACGGGCTAGAGAAGAGATTGAGTGATGTGGTACAGGAGGACGTGGAGCTAAGTGGACTTGCCAATGACTGGTACCAGCGGTGTCAAGATCGGTCTCTGTGGAGGAGGCTCGTGAAGGACGCTACTGGGCAGTTGGAGGTAGTCGCCCTCCAACAACAACGGAGGACGGAGGAGCGACGCTCACAACAACGAGCGGAGCGCCGAGTGGCTAAAGCACAGCAGGTTGGCACAGTAGGGGGCACAGGTGGTGCATCAGCCAGTCATCTCAGTCAGTCGACCTGTGGCACCTGGGTCTGCCCCGTGACCTCCTGCCAGCGGGTGTTCGACACTCCACTTGGCCTCAAGGTGCACATGGCCTGGCACAAGCGTCGTGGTGACGTCACCGCCACTTAGTGGCGAATGACGGTTGTTGTTGTGTTAGTGGCTGACAGAGGAGGTGTTCAACCGTAGGCAAGGAGTGGTGGATGTGGTTACTTATGCCCCCCACCAAAGACGAACATCCGTGGAGGGATGCAGGCAAGGCCGATGAGTCAGATGCCTTCTATGACCTCCTGTCACAGGTGCTGGCTAAAGTGGCCCCTCGGGATAGAGTCATCTTGTTGGGTGACTTCAATGCCCGAGTTGGTCATGATGCTGGCACCTGGTCTGGAGTGATTGAAGGGCATGGGCCAGATCAGCTCAATAACAATGGTAGGAGGCTGCTAGATTTTTGTGCAGCTCATGGGCTTGTAATTACCAACACGCTGTTCCGGCATCGGCGCATCCACACAACATCATGGATGCATGCCGGGTCCAAGCAAGAACATCTGCTGGACTACATAGTGACGGACCAGCGAATGCAAGCCCATGTCCTTGACACCAGGACCTACCGTGGAGCTGATCTGCCCTCTTGACGGCGATTCGTAAACAACAACATCAACAAAAGCAGTAAACGAAGCGAGTTGAACATCGTCCGAGCCGCTCTCACTCTCTCGCGTGCGGTGTTCTGCGTTGAAGTCGAGGTTGCCGTCTCGAGTCCTAGTTGCAGGCTTCTTGGTAGACTCGGGCCCAGCACCGGCGATGGTCAAATGAGGATTTGCAATTCGCGAATTTGCGTTGTAATTTACGTTGTTTCATGCGGTTAGTGGGATTGCTAAAATAATTTCAACGGGAATGTGATGTTGGATTTTAGCCACGTTGTTTGAAGTGTCTAGAATTAGCGGGGTATACAGGTTACTAGGCCTCCGTTGAGTAACATTCAAAGGCTGTGTCGTGCAGCTATCATGTAAACTGACTTTTAATTAAATGATAAAGTATCATGTCTACCAATACATCGCCTGTGTTATATATGCACTAACGTACTCTCCGGTCGATACAGTGAGTACCATATTGTGGTAGTTAACATTTCCCTTTACATGGATTCACTCGTCTCCGCCATAGGAATATGGAATTCCCGCCCCTGGCAATTGGTGGATGAAGTGATGCGAAGCATCCCACGGGGAAGCGCCGTTGTTTCACAGCCCGTGTGTTAATCTACTGCTGGTTGAAGCCCCTCTACACACTGTTAATCATGGGGGGGGGGTAGTTGTTTGACCATACTTGATGGCTCTCTGTACTCTCTGAACTCTGATCAGTGGTAGAAGTGAGGGGGAAGATCCGAGACCTTGTTCATACATCAACTCTCTACTGGTGTTGGCCGCGGTCGGAAATCAAAATCAGATCGCCGGGTTAACTGTGTATCACACTTGTCACTGCTCCATCTTGTTTATGTTTTTTTTCTGGAAGACTTTGCAGTTTTTGCCTGGATTTTTCTGTTTGCCCATAGTCACTTTAAGATGTTTTCTTGTTCATGTTTTAGTTTTTTGTTTGTTGCGGTTGCACCCGATTCAAGAGCCGAATGGCTCACAGGGCTATAGCAAATAAATGAAACTGAAAACTGTAAGATGCGCCTGCCATTCTTCCACTCCGGTGGTGGGTGTACACCCAGGACCCCATTCCAAACTAAAGTGGCCGGGTCTCAATTAGCTGATGAAAATTGCAAGGGAGAATTCATCATCGCTTGCGGCTGGGGTTGGCACCGTCCCCCACTCCTCCTGATGTTGAGGGTAAATGGGCGAGGTTTAAGACTGTGACTCAAGCAGCTGCAATGGCTGCTTTGGGTACGCGGTCCAGACCTCCCCAGAGACCCTGGCTGACAGAGGATGTGTTCAGGATAGTTGAGAAAATGCGACAGGCCCACTGTCCTCGGCTACAGAATCCCA